TATTCAATGATAAAGTCAAATTTACACAATTTCTATCTCCAAACTCAATCCTATAGAACATGATAAAAGGAAAACTCCCAACTAAGGAGGTTAACTACAACCATGAAAACACAGGGAATAAATATACCCAGACCAGCAAATTGAAAGAAGGAAAATACAGAGACACAAAACCACACACACACACACACACACACAGACACACACACCACCACCACCACCACCATCACCACCACCACCATCACCACCAACACCATCAGCACCAGCAAAAACAACGAAGTAACAGGAATCACCAATCATCAGTCACTGATATTTCTCAATATCAGTGGGCTCAATTCCCCCAATAAAAAGGCACAGATTAACAGAATGGATGCAGAAACAGGGCCTGTTCTTTTGCTCATAACAGGCTTTCTTTTGTGCCACCAACCAGCTCCAAAATCATGACATGGAGACTTTGTATTAGTTATGAATGCTTGGCCTTATCTTAGGTCCCACTAGTTCTTACAACTTAACTTGCTTCTCTTCATCTACATTTTGCCTTAGGCCTTTTCACCTCTTTCTCCTTCTCTATATCTTGCTTTCACTACTTCTTGTGTCTGTCTGGCTAGCAGCTGACCAGCTTCTAGCCCCAGGCATGTTCCTCTCTTCCTCCCCCATTTCCTCCCCCTCTTTCTCCAGCCTATATTTTTCCTCTTACACATTCTCTACCTGCCAGCCCTGCCTGTCCTTCTCTTGCCTAGCTATTGGCTGTTCACCTTTTTATTAGACCAATCAGGTGCCTTAGGCAGGCAAGGTGAAACAAATGTAACACATCCTTACACAATGAAGCAGATGTAGCACAAACAAATGTAACACATTTTTACATCATTAACAAAGGCAGCATAAACAAATGTAACACATCTTCACATAGTTAAAGTAATATTCTGCAGCATAAATAAATGTAGCACATTTTTGGCTAATTTAAATAATCCACAACATTTGCTACATCTAAGAAACATACCTGGACATCAAAGATAAACATTAACTCAGGGGAGGTATTGGAAAAAAAATATCCCAAGAAAATAGACCTAAGAAACAAGCTGGTGTAGTCATTTTAATATCAAACAAAATAGACTCCAAACCAAAATTAATCAGAAGAGACAGAGAAAGTCACTACATACTCATCAAAGAACAAATCCACCAAGAGGACATTGCAATTCTTAACATCCATTCCCTAACCACAAGGGCACCCGAGTTTATAAAGGAAACACTACTGCAGCTTAAATCACATATTCACCCTCACACACAAATAGTGAGAGACTTCAAAAAACCAATCTCACCATCTAGACAGAAACTAAACAGAAATGCTAGTGCTATCAAATGTTTTAAACCAAATGGACCTAACAGTTATTTACAGGACATTACACCCAAACATAAAAGAATATACCTTCTTCTCTACATCTCATGGATACAAGAAAACTGAGTAACACTCTGTATTCTATCAGACCACCAAGGATTAAAGTTGGATATCAACAACAACAGAAAGCTTACAAATGCACATAAATAGAATAACTCTCCACTGAATGAAAGATGAGTCAAGACAGAAATAAAGAAACAAATTAAAGACTTTCTAGAATTGAATGAAAATGAATACACAGTAAACAATGAAAGTGGTTCTAAGAGGCAAGCACTAAGTGGCTACATAAAAATCAAACAAAACTGGAGCCATGTCTTACCAGCAACTTAGTAGCACACCTGAAAACTCTACAACAAAAAGAGGAAATCACACCCAAGAGCAGTAGACAGCAGGAAATAATCAATAAAATAGAAGCAAAGAGAACAAGACAAAGAATCAGTGAAATGAAGAGTTGGCTCTTTGAGAAAATCAGCAATGTAGAAGACCCCTTATCCAAATTAATTGTCAAAGACAGATTAACCAAATTAATAAAATAAGAAGAGAAATCAGACATAACAATACTCACAGATGAAATCCAGAGAATCATAAGGACATATTTTAAAAGCCTGTATTTCACTAAATTGATGATCCCCTAGGGAGTGGATGGGGGGTGAAATTGGAGGGGGTTGGTGGGAGGCATGGGAGGATGGGAGGGAGAGGGAACCAAGATTGATATGTAAAATAAGATTGTTTCTAAATAAAAAAAAAAAAATAAAACTCAAGACCAAATGAATCAAAGTCCTCAACATAAAACCAGTTACACTGACCTGATAGAAGAGAAAGTAGGGAATAAAGGCATTGGCACAGGAGAACTTTCTGAATCGAACCCCTTATTGCAGGCACTAAAATCTACAATTAATAAATGGGACTTCATGAAACTGAAAAGCTTTGCAAGGTAAAAGACACCCTCATTTCAATAAAATGGCAGAATGGGAAAAAATTTTACCAGCTCCAGATCAGATAGAGGGCTAATTTAGAAAATGTATTAATAACTCAAGAAACTTGATATAAAAAACTAAATAACTCAATTTAAAGATGGGATACACACACACTTATGTGGAGAGAGAGAGAAAGAGGTCTCAATAGAGGAAACTCAAGTGTCTGAGAAACACTTAAAAAATGTTAGCCCTCAGGAACATGCAAATCAAAGCTACTTTGAGATTCCATCTTATACTTGTCAGAATGGCTAATTTCAATAACACTCATCTATTGCTGGTTGAAGTGCAAATTTGCACAGTTACTATGGAAATCAGTATGATGGTATCTCAAGATCCAGTTATATCACTCTTGGGACATATACCTAAAGGACACTTCATCCTACTACAGGGGCACTTGTTCAACCATGTTCATTGCTGTTCAATTCATAATAGCCAAAAAATTGGAAACAACCTAGATGTACCTCAAGAGAGAATGGATAAAGAAAATGTGGTACATTTACACAATGGGGTATTACTCAGCTGTCAAAAAAGCAAATTTTCAGGTAAATGGACAGAATTAAAAAATAAAAAATCCTGAGTGAGGTAACCCATGCCTAAAAAGATAAATATGATATGCATTCATTTACATCTGGATATTAGCAATTCAATTATGATACCAAGCTACACTCTGTAGACCCAGAGAGGTTAAGCATAGAGGAAGGGACAGGGGCAGGGGACATGGCTCTCCCTGGGATAGAGAAATAGAATAGATTTTATGGACGGGCTGGAGGGGGGATGAGAATGGGAGGATCCGGTGGGAAGTGGGGGGAGGAGATGGGATTTAGTGAGGAAATGAAGGGACAGCTAGAAGTGAAGAGCTTGTCAGGGCAGTATGGAAACTTAGGTCAGTGTAAACTTCCTAAATTACATGACAGCAATCCCAACGAAGTCTCCAAATGAGGGAGACAGAATCACAGATGGCCATCTGTTCTCCCCAGAGGAAGCTTTCAGTCCAGGACCAAGTTTCATCCAATTGAGTTGTTGGCTGAAAGGGCCCCTATGAAATTCCCAAACATCCTAGGCTGTTGCCAAAGCTATAGGTTACAATCAACAAACTGACAGCGAGGGCTGCGTTGCTGGAGACAACCACCACACAATTCATTGAACATAAAGAGAGGTAAGGCTGGTGCCTACATAGATCCCTCACCCCCACGTTCTAGTGTTTTAAACACGGATCGGTACTCTGCAGGCTACCAAAAGACAAACATTAACACCAACCCAGCCACAAATTTTTCCTGCCTGAAAAACATGCTAGGGGGTGGTTATACAAACTTTGTGGGAGCAACCAACTGATTTGACTTAATGCCTACTCCATGAGATAGAACCCATACCTGAAACTGCTTAGGCCACCATGAACCAGGATCACCACAATCTAGATAGCCCAGAAACCAAATAGCACTTGCCTTGAAAATAAAAATAAAAAGGAAAAAAGAAACATGGAAACAATAAAATGACTCTTACAGATAGATATTCGGCAATACTTATTCAGCAGTCATCAGAGAGGCTTCATCCTGCAGCAGATGGGAACAAATACAGACACCCACAGCCAGACATTATGGAGAGAGAGGGGAGAAAAGGAAAAGGAGAGGGGGGAGGGAGGGAGGCAGGAACAGCTGTAAAAGCGGCACCTCCATTAACTTCCTCCCCTCAGAGCTCAGTGAACCCAAATCCCACAGAAGAGAAGGCAAAGGGGGTGAGGGAGACAGAAGGGATGGAGGACACCAGGAACACAAAGACCCTCTAAATCAACTGAGCCCACCCACATGGATTTGCACCGGGTCCCCTGCTTGTGTGCCATAGCTTTCAGTTTAGAGCTTGTATGGGACTCCCGAATGTGAGAATGAGAGGATATCCGATTCATTTGCCTTCTCTGGAGCTCTTTTATTTTTCTGTTGACTTGGCTTGTCCAATTTTGATATGAAGGTTTTCATTTCTCGGCAACTGGACCGTGCCCTCAGCCTCTGCAACTGGACTCTGTTTTGCCTCTGAAGTTGGACTCAGTTGGACAACAGCCTCTTCCTTGCAGCTTAGCCCAGGGGTTTATTATTGTATTCCAGTAGGTTTTCCAGCTCTGGCTTTCTAGGTCTCTTTGAAACTTCTTACCCTTTTAAATCCTCGTGCACACTCCATTGTCTATATATTATACATATAGATAGATGGATTTACCTTGTGATGTTTAATGTGTGATCCGAAAGTCAATAAACAAGACTGGCATAAAAGAACCTCAGCGAGGGTTGACGAGAAAAGCAGAATCCATGAGAATTGGCTGCCACTGAAATTGCTATACCTTGTGAATTTATTGTCACTTAATAAATATATCACAAACCTAGCAATTTGCCCAGAGTAGCAGGACTCACAAGTGCCTTAGTTATGGAGGAGATACTTTCTATTTCCTGGTCTCCTCTGCTACTCATGCACAGGAAACTCACACAGCCAAGTTTAAGAGGACCTGAGGGGGAAGCCCCGTGGGAAAGCTGTTGGGGGCACCAGACAAGAGGATACTCATTCGAAAGAAAGAACCGTGACATCAGAGATAGGGCAGCGTTCCTGGGAGGAGTTAAGAAGCCCGGCCACTCACTAAGAGCCCATTTGACCTAGCTGTCATACCAGAGTTGCGGGTGGCTGGGCTCTGCAGAGATGTACTTCCATTGGGCTGCGGACTCACCGCAGCGTCGGTGGCTGAGGGAGAGAAATGGCCTTAAGCTCTTGCAGGCAGCCAGTGGAGAGCGCCACTCTCTGCTATTGTTCAGCAATCACCAGGTGTACTCCTGTGGGGACAACAGCTTGGGCCAGCTGGGCCAGAAGAGAGGGCAGAATACCAAACGGCCAGGTGAGTACTCAGCCCAGGAGTGGGTGCCCGGGGATGAGATGTGGATGGCTCTGTTGCACTGGGGATACCTCGATGCTGGTACCCGGCTTTGAGCTGCAAGTCAATGGTTTCATTTCCCGGAGCTCTAGAGTTTGCGTTTGTTTCGGTTTCCAGTTCCGCTTCCTTGAGAAACTGAGAGCTAATCAGAACTGCATTCCTGTAGACAGAAGTAAGGTCCCTCCCCACCTCCCCCCCACCCCACCCCCCGGACTTCCCAGACTTTCTGGGGGAGGTCTGTCTTCCAAACCGAGTGAGTTGCGCACCTCTAACTAGCTTAGCAAATCCCCTGGAGCATCTTTCCTCCTAATTTTAAACAAAAGTATAATAGCACTTTTGGGTTAAGGCTATTGTAGGAATATAGAAAAGAAGCCACCTGCAGGATCTGGAGAGATGGCTCAGTGGTTGAGAGTTCAGTTCCTAGCACCTTTGTGGCAGTTTACAATCACCTTGTGATTCCATTTCCAGAGCATCTGATGCCTCGGTGGGCACCAGCACACACACACACACACACACAACACACACACACACACACACACACATGCACACAGGGATGTACATGCACATACAAATAAATAAAAATAATAAAGTATTTTCAAAGAAGCTACCTGTAATCACACCAAGAGGCAGCTCTAATAACAGGGCATAGTTCATGCTTGCCTTATTTTTCTGTGTATGTAAATTTGATCCTTATAGAATCGCGACATTATAAAGTATTGTATTTGTATTTAAAGAAGTTGTGCTTTTATCAAAATATATTAACCTATTAGATTATTTTAAAAAATATATGATACTGATTGTATTTTTGTAAGTAAGGATCTAACTAAAACTCTAGTTTGTTTTTCTGCTTTTTTTTCTTTTATTCATTTTACATGCTAGGTAATCACTCTACCATTGGGCTATATTACATTCCCAAACCTTGACCATAATTGATTATGTGTTTAGAATAGTTTGAAGAACTGTGTGGAAAATGAAAACTAGTCCTTTGTCCTTGTAGACACAGTTCCTGGAAACTGAAACAGGGAAAAGAAACTAACAGAAAAACAAAAACAAAACTTGTAATATTATTCATCTTTTACCTAGAGAGCAATTGTGTGCATGGGAATTTACAGAAAGTAAATGGAACCCAAAGAGGTGCTTAGATTCAGGAACTATGTACTCTATTTAACAAATGAAAGGGGGTTGAGACTTTACTGGATAATAAATTGTGTGGAACCATCAAGAAATAGTGATAGAGCACTTGCAGGCAGGAATGGGACCCTGGGGTCAAACCCTAGCATTGCAGAAACAAAGCAGAACACAGAAGAAGCAGAAATAAAAAAGATAACCTGAGTACATTAATAACCTAGAGTATTAATTGGGGCATTTTGTCACTCATGAAGAAACCAGCACCAGGACTCAGGCTGCACTGAGGGATTGAACAGATTCCAGTCAGAAATTTCCATAAGCGTATACAGAGCTGTTCTCTGTGGAGAGGTTAGCTGGACGTTTCAGTTTTGTTTCCCTGGGCTTGTGACCCTCATTTTCAGCTGGGTTTCAGTTTGCTTATGTAGGAACTTGTGGTGCTCAAGCCTTGCCAGCCAAGGTGTGTCCAGGTAGTCAGTATAACGTAGCTGTTTCCACACACATAGTATGAACGTGATGGATTGTTTCCTCTTGATGTTTAGTAAGGACTTCAGATTTTGGCTTAACAGATATTGAAGGAGTAAAAGATTCTGTATAAACCCTTCCTTTTTTGAAGGTAATAATTCTCGTAAACTCTTAGACACATATAATCTGATGGGAGTTTTCTATTTGTTTTTGTTTACAAAGAACCAATTAAGGCTTTGGATACTCTGCATGTCAACCTTGTGAGCTGTGGGAAGGAGCACTCCATAGCTGTCTGCAACGAAGGAACTGTCTTTGCTTGGGGAGCAGGTTCTAAAGGGCAGCTGGGGATTGGAGAATTTAAGGAAATAAGTTTAACGCCTATGTAAGTATTTAAATCCACTCCTTTTACCAATATTTTTGAGTGCTAGGTACTTAAAGACCAGTCACAAAGATGACTACAGCTAAGGCATCCCTAGCCTAAGGGTTAAAATGTGAGGACAGGAGTGGTCAGGAAATCATTTGTAGAACCTGCTGATTAATTAGAGCCCATGAAGGAGAAAGTAAGAATGACATGTCGTATAATTCTTGAGTTCTGATTGTATTCATTATAATATACATATGGGGGCACACTTGGGCTCCTACAGTAAATCAAAAGCAAAGACAAGCATTTTAAGTACAAACATCAAGATATGAAGGATTCCGAAAGAAATTTCACTTGATGATCTTGTATCTGACTAAAGCAGAACCTCTCACATTAACCACACTCTATGTATTTTCCAAATATTCAGTGAATGAAAAAAGCCTAATGGAACCCACCATTCTCTTCCATTGAAGCTCTGAAACACATAGACCTTCACGAAGATAGCCACAGGAGTTCAAAGCCATCCTCAGTTACACAGGGAGTCAGAGACCAGCTAGATCTACATGACACCCTTTCACACCCTCCTCCTCTTAAACACACACACACACACACACACACACACACACACACACACACACACACACACACGCCCAAAACAACTGATACAATGTGATTTTGGCCATGTGCTGTGTATTAAAATTCGATTAGGAAGGAGTGGGTCCTCCTTGGATAGTCGGATGTGTTGTCACTTAGTGACTCATGAACGGGATTAGATGACTGAGATTCCTGTTGTCCCCTGCACTGTCCAGGGAAACCTCAGCCATGGCAGTGGCATTAGCAGGGTCACTGTGAGAAAGAAGATTCTGTCTAGCCTGACGAAGAGATATGAGAGACGCGGAATAGGTGGGAGACGCCCATGCTACTCTGTCTTCAGAAGGGAGCAGAGGTGTGGAGTTCTTGGGGGTTGGGAGTGAAACCATTCCTCTCAGTAGCTAAAAGTCACAACAAGAAGGAAAGAAAAAGCAGCTTAACACTTTGAAAATGGCATTGCGGGGCACAAGAGAATAAAATTGTTTCCTGGGATGTGATGTATTATCTAGACTATGTGGTGATGTGTTGTTTGTGATTTATTAAGACCACTGAAGATCAGAGAGATCAGAGCAGTAAAATAGCCAAGCCAGGAGTTCTTAACCTCTACCTACATGAGCCAGCAATCTTGTCTCCATGAATCCTCAGAGACAAAAAGGCTCTCAGATCTTGTCTCCTCCCCCTTACATTCCTGTCTCCGCCCAGCCATATCACTCCTTCCTAGTGCTAGGATTAAAGGCATGTAACCCCAAGTGTTGAGATCATCTTTGTATGAGCTGTTTCTTTTAGACTGGATCAATTTAGTGTAGTCAGTGTGACCTTGAACTAACAGAGATTCATCTCCCCCTTAATCCTGGGCCCTGGGATTAAAGGTGTGTACCACCACCTTGATTCTACAGCTAACTAGTATTTGCAATTTTTGATCTCCAGAGGCTTTAATAAATCATAAACAATATATATCCACAAGAATATTTTTAAAATGTGTGTAGTTTCTTTGATAATTCATCCTAAACAAGGTTTAACAGACTTTTGTGACTTTTTCTTACAGGAAAGTAGAAGTTCCAGGTGGTGTAAAAATAATCCAAGTTTCCTGTGGACACGACCACTCCTTGGCATTATCTGAAGGTAAAGAATATTTTGGGGACCTCTGAATGTCACTAGGAAATATTTTTTTTTTTTTTTTGAGACGGGGATTTTCTGTGTATCCTTGGCTGTCCTGGAACTCATTCTGTAGACCAGACCTTGAACTCACAGAGATCCACCTGTCTCTGCCTCCTGTGTGCTGGGATCAAAGATGTGCAGCACCACTGCCCGGCTCATTCTCTCTCTTAGTGATCACACTAAGTATTAAGTTTTGTTACGACTCTTTTCATGCTGATTTATTTTCTGCCCTGCTTCTCTTCCCTTTTCTCAACCCAATGCTCAGACCTCACACTCTCCTACCACAGTAGCCTTCCTTCTGTTGTGACACATGCATTCTATTCTTCTGTCCTTAGGCGAAGCCAAGGTGTACATCATTTCTCGCTGCTACTGAACTGTCTTTTCACTGGTCTGGAGTATTGAAGCTGTATAAAAGGCATTCCATACATTTGCTACAGTGAACTCTATGTCTCTACAGACATTTATAAGAACTTCACATTTCATGACATGTCCTCAAAAGTAGCTTTTAGAGAAATAAGTACATTTAGAGGAGTCAAAAGTTTGCTATAAATAACAGAAAATGTTGAGGATGCATTGTTATTGCCTTTGTTATTTGTGTATTTAAGCACTGGAAATGCTTAATTTTAAATATTCTTGAATTACATTTTTTTAATTGGTTTTCGTTTTGTGTACATGTGTGTGGGCATGTGGGTGTCGGAGAACAAGTTTCAAGAACTGGTTCTCTCCTAACATGTGAGTCCCAAGGATTGAATCCAGGTCACCAAGCTGTGTGACCAGTGCCTTCATCTGTGGAACATGTGACCAGCATAGAAGAGCTAAGTTCATCTCACATAAATGACTCAACTCTGGTCAAATCCAGCATAGCTGCTGATGTGTCTCACCCTAGTCACCCATAAACATGTACTGAATGTCTGAACATTCGGACGAAGAAGAGAAAGCAAGGGACAACTCCTGTTCTGGAGGAAGTAGAGATAAACCAGGAATCACATGGATACAGCGCTATATAATAAAACAAGGAAGAGAACAAAACAGACCTTTAGGGGACAGAGGCTGAGTACTGGAGTGGAAGGGAAACGTCTTTCTACTTCATAAAAGAAGTTCTTAGTTCTAAGGATTGAAGTACAAGGTTTGCTAAGCAAGGGCTCTTCCACTGAGATATCTCCAAGTCCTGGAGACATACACATATATGTATTTAACATATAATCTGTAAACTATGTATTGCTATAACTATAATATAATTTTATTTAATTAAAATAGAATCACATCATTTCTCCTCTCTTTCTCTTCCCTCTAACCCCTGCCATGTTCCCTTCTCAAACTCATGGTCTCTTCAACTTTAGTTCTTATTGTTATATATGTACAGCTGTATAAGTAGAGAAATATATAAATGCTGATTCCATTTAGAGTTACTTGTATGTATATGATTTCAGAGCTGAGCACTTGGGATTGGATAAACATTTAGGGAGCTCATCCCTGGTGAAGACTAGTTTTTCTTCTCTTAGCAATCTTTATTGCCTGCAGCTCTTTTTCTAGGGGTAAGACCTCTAAGACATTTCTCCCTTCAATTTTGGCATGTTAGCTGGTATCATTGTTCAAGTCCGGTTTAACAGTCATATTGAAGCTTCTCTGTCTTATCTAGAAGACACACTCTCTCAGTCGATTTCCCGCCATCTGGCTCTTACAGCATTTGTACCTCTCCAATGCTCCCTGTACCCTAGGAGTCAGAGTTGTGTTGTAGATGTATCAGTTGTGGTTGGGCACACAATAGGCAGATATTCTCTGCTTTATGACTGGCTGTTTATAACATTCCACTTCTTAATTGTTGATCTTAATTCATGGACCAATGGAGTCTTAGTCAGAAAGTCATTTCCAACCTATGAAGGGTACTGCCTGTTTTCTCCAAACAGTTTTAGTGTTTTGGGTTTGAAATTGAAACTTGAATCCATTTGGAGTTAATCTTTGTAGTGGTAGATATGGGTGTAATTTTATTCTTTGTGTGACATCCAGTTTTCCTAGCACCATTTGTTGAAGGTGCTGTCTTTTCTCCAGTGTATATTTTCAATTTTGTAAAATATCAGATGGCAATAGTTATGTGTAGTCATGGTTGGTATTCTATTTTGTTCCATTGATCTATGTCTATTTTTGTGCCAATACCATGCTGTTTTTATTATTGTATCACTTTAACATAGTTTGATATCTGGAAAGATAATCACTCCAGGTGTGTGTGTGTGTGTGTGTGTGTGTGTGTGTGTGTGTGTGTGTGTGTGTGTTTCCTGTTTATTTGAACAGGGTTGCTTTGATTGCCTAGGATCTTTCTGTTTCCATGTGAGTTTTTAAAATTATTATTTTTTTGTTTTTGTTTTGATGAAGACTGTCGTGGGTATTTTGCTTAGGATCGCATTGAATCTGCTCATTGCTTTTGGTTGTGTTGTCATTTTCACAATATTATCTCTACCTACTCGTGAGCGTAGGATTTTTTTATTTTATTTTGTTTCATTTTCTAATATCTCCTACCTTTTCATTAGAGATTCAGAGTTTTCACTGTAAACTCCTTCACATTCTTGGTTAGGTTTATTCCTAGATATTTATCATCTTTGAAGGGATTGTAAAATGGGCATATGTCCATCATCCCTTCCTTAAACTGTTTATTGTTGGTCTTTAGAAAGGCTACTGGTTTTCATGAGTTGATTTTTGTTATGTTGCCATTTTGCTAAAATTATTCTTTCTAGAAGTTTTCTGAAGGGGTATTTGGAATTTCATGCCAAATACCATGTTATAAGTAAGAATAATGTTGCTTTTTTTTCCCCTTATTTTTGACTCTTTCATTTCCTTCTATTGCTTTATCACTCCAGATAGTGCTTGGAGCACTATACTGAAAAGGAGTAAGGACCATAGACAGCTCTGCCTCATTCCTGATTTTAATGGGAGTGATTCAAGTTTTTCTCCATTTAGCATGTTTGTCATATGTAGCCTTTATTAATGTGATGTGTGCTTTCTCCAGTCCTACCCTTTCTAGGACTTTTACTATGAAAGTATGTTGGATCTTGTCAAAGCCTTTTTCTGTATCTGTTAAAATGACCATGAGATTTTTTTTTTCCTTACCTCTATATTACTTATTTACTGACTTACATATGTTGATCTATCCTTACATCTTTGGAATAAAGCCAACTTAAGTGATCTTATGAAACACACGCCACCATAGTTTTAAAGTATTTTATTGAACATTTTTTGTAACTATATTCATAAGGGATATTGGCTTGTGGTTTTGGCAAATTTGTCCTGTCCTTACCCGGTTTTGATGTGTAGTGATACTGGGTTCATAAAAGAGTGTGTAAGTTTTCTTTCTGTCTCTTTCTTTTTGAATAATTTAAGTACCAGTTGTACATCTTCTTTGAAAGTCCAGTAGGATTTTTCTATGAATTCATCTGGGCCTAGGATTGTTTTATTTGGTAGGGTTTTTTTTTTTTTAATTACAATTACTAACTCCTTAGTTCTTAGGGGTCTATTTAGGTTGTTGGTCACTTCTTGAATTAACTTTGGTGGTTTGGATGAATTACAAGATTCATCCACTTCTTTTAGATTTTCTGACTTAGTAGAGTACAGGCTTTTCAAGCATTTCCTTATAATATTCTGAATTTCATTGGTATCTGTAGCAATCTTTCTATATTCATTTCTGATTTTGTTCATTTGGAATGTGTCTTTCTTTCTTTTAATTTGTTGGATCAATGCTGTTCATCTCGTTTATCTTCTCAAAGAACCAGCTCTACGATTAGTTGGTATTTTGTATTCTTTTTGTTGGTTTGTTTGTTTGTTTCTATTTCATTAATTTCTGCACTGATTTGTATTTTATCTTACCATCTGCTGGATTTGGGATTGGTTTGTTCTTGTATCTCCAATTCTTGAGTTGCATCATTAAGTCATTTATTTATAATCTTTCTAGTTTTCAGTGTAGGAGCTTGGAGCTATACATTTCCCTCTGAGGATTGCTTTTAATGTAGACCAGCTGTTTGGGGTGTATTGTGTTCTCTTTTATTTCCAAAAAGTTTAAAATTATTTTTCTTGATTTCTTCTTCAGTCATTCATCACTCAGTAATGAGTTGTTTAATCTCCATGTGTTTGTATATGATAGAGATTTGTTTGTTAGTAATTTTGTTTTATTTCATTATAGTCAGATAAGATACTGAGTTGTGTAAATTTTTCTGAATTAGTTGACAATATTTTTTTTGTGCCTCAGTATATGGTCTATCTCATAGGAGTTTCCATAAGCTGCTGAGTGGAATGTACATTCTTTTGTGTTGGAATGAATATTCTGAAGGTATCTGTTAGGTTTATTTGAAGCATGATGTCATGAAATTCTGATATTTCTGAATCGTTTTCTTCAGATGGCCTCTATATCTCTCTATATTTTAAGAAAGTGGGGTGTTAACATCATCTGCTATTATTGGGTTGGTTTTAATCTGTGTCTTTTATTCTGAATTTATAGGTGCTATGAAGTTGTGTGCACTAGAGTTAGGCACCTCTATGTTTAGGATTGTAATGTTTTATTAGTTAATTGTTCCATTGATTAAAATGAATAGATTTCTAATTTCCTTGAGTCTTGACTATCTCTTTGATTAGTTCCAGTCTGAATATTTTGTCAGATACTATGATAGCAATACTTGCTTCTTGTCTGGCCCCATTTGTTGGGAATATTTTTTTTTAATCTCATCACTTTAGAGTTGTTCCTTTCCTTAAAGCTAAGATTATTTTCTATAGCTAAGAGAAATATGGATTTGTTTTCTTTTTTAATCCAGTCTCTGTCTTTTAATTGGACAAAGCCCATTAATACTTCAAGTTGTTCTTTAAAGGTGTGTGTTGATTGCAATCTCCTTTCTTTGCTGCCTGGGTTCTTATTCTTAGTTTGTGTTTTAGTAATTGAACCTTCATGCTTTTCTTCTTACAGACTGTTTGCTATGTTTATTCCTGTCTTCAGTCTGAAGTATTTCTTCCACTATTCTGTGCATGTTTGTATCACACAAAGCTTTTCTTTCTACTTCATATATGGCTGATAGTTTCACTGGGTACATACATACAGTTTGGCATTAGCGGTCTTCTAGAACTTGGATTCATTGCTCTAACCTCTTCTGACTTTCAGAGTTTCCATTGGAAATCAGCTATTATGATGATGGGTTTTCCTTTGTATATGCTTTCCTGTCTTGCAACTTTCAATATACTTTCTTCTCTGTATGTTAATGTTTTAACTATTGTATGCTATGAGGAATTTCTTTTCTGGTCTTGTCTATTTGGTATCCTGTTTCTTGTGTCTTTCTGTTGGGGCTGTTTCCCTCTGTGATCATGCTGACGTTCTGGCCTATGACACTCACCTGGGATCTATCTCCTATGCCTTAGTTCCAAGATTTGATCTTTTTTGTACTTTCTCACAATTAATGCCTGTCCCCTTCCTGTCTTAAAATAGGTTTCACATCCTTTGCTTGTGTTGTTTAATTCTTCTATTTTTAACCTTAATAGTCCATTTTTTTTTTCTTGATCCATTCTCCTTGTAAACCTTTCCTGACTTCTCTCAATGGGTTATTGGGTTTTTGTTGATTTTTTTTTTGGTTTGTTTGTTTGTTTCCTATCTCCATTTCAGCTTGAGTTCTTTTCAATATTTCTATCTTTTTATTGAATTTGAATCTCAAATCCTTTATTGTCTTCATCATTTCTCACTCATGCTTGTTTTCCGTGAACATCAAACAGGTGTTTATTCTTTAAGTTCACTACACTGTGTCTTTTTTTAAACTCCTTGAATTCTTTGATGAAGTTTATGTCGCTGTCTTTAGGTTCTGTATCTCAGTGCCCATATATATAATTTTCACTGAAGAACATTCCTATAGGACTGGTAGATTTGGCGGTGTCATGATCTTTTATATTGGTTTTGCAAGAAGACAAGGGCCTGAGGACTTCTTTCGTCGCTTGTGTTTCTGATGTGGACACAGCAGGCTGTGAAGCTGGACTCTAGTACAGGATGTATATACTGGGCTTGGACTAGAGAATGGATCTAATCTATACCAGTTTACATGGGGTGACCAGAGTTAGGAAGGGTCATGCCAAGGCATGCAGGAGGCTTACCTGTGCCTCCTCATCACATGGACCTGCTAGAAGGTCCTTGGGGGAAAGGAGCCTGTTATCTGGCGAGAAGAGTGGCTGGAGCAAGGCAGGGTGCCAGGGTCCCTGACAGGCAGCTGCAGGGTGACATAAGTTGGGAACTGGACTTAAATGGTTAAAAGTTCCCTCTTACCACCTTGGTAAAAAAAGACTTTTGGGAGCAAGGGGATGGAATGTGAGATAACAGTTTGAGGCTACTAAAACTTCCCTTGGTGACTTAACTAAAATGGTAACAATTGAGAGGCGAGAAAAGGTTATATTCTACAAAGATTTGGCAGCAGGGGGTGAGGGTTTAGGATTTTCTAGTTTGAATCATATTAAAAACACAAGTCAAGGATAACGCCAAGTATTTGGTGTCAGAAAATCTGTAAGAACGCAGTTGCCTTTGCAAAGGAAAAGAATGGGCTTCATTTTGGAGGGACTCTTAAATATGAATTTAACATGCATGCCTTGCCTTTTCATCACAAAACTTTAGTTCCGTTTTCTCTCATACTCATGTTTTACTTTTTGAAGGTTTGTAGAATTAAGTACAATACAGAATAGGAGAAAATCATGCATTTGCAACACATGTAGTAGTAATTTAAGATAAACATACTTACCAGATGCTACCTGGCATACATGTAAAATTAAAAGAAACTGGATTCATAGAAACGGAGTAGAATGGTAGTTATCAGGAATGTACAGGTAAGGGAGATGAGAGGTCCAGAGGCTACAAATTCATGTTGACGAATGACGTCTGGAAACCTGTTGTCCCATAATGTACCTATCATTAACAATAATGCTTTCTATACTTGACATTTACTAAGAATGCAGCGTTTTGTTTTGTTTCACTTTCCTGTTTGCTTATTTACTTGGAACTGGCCATTAGACCCAATACCTTACTTAGTCTGAGCACACTCTAGAGCTATATAGTCCAAGCTCTGCCAGCAGAATTTGAAAACAACACCATGAACAAAAATCCTGGGCGAGGCAATTTGATCAGCTAATCCTGGCATTTGTTTTAGAGAGTGTATGTACATTAGAATATTGCTTTAACATTTCAAATGTAGATAGGTTTGTTTTGTGGAACTGAGTGTGATAGTGTTTACTATTGTGGTAATTCAGTGGGCGTACAATTATAAATGTTCTTTATTTTTGTAGATAGCCAAGTGTTTTCATGGGGAAATAACAGCGAAGGGCAGCTGGGCCTGGGGAAGACCATCAGTTGTGAGGCCAGCCCACAGAAGGTGAAGTCCCTGGAGGGAATTCCACTGGCTCAGGTGGCTGCAGGCGGCACTCACAGCTTTGCTCTCTCTCTCACGGGGACTTCATATGGCTGGGGGAGCAACAAGGCTGGGCAGCTGGCCCTCAGTGGCAAAAACATCGAAGGTAAGAAAATAGTGTTGTTGTCTTTTTGCGGCTGGAACACTAGCCTACCAAAGGGCACATCACAGCGGTTTCCAAACTGCCAATTGGCATTGCCAGGAGAGCGGCTTCTGTTTCCTATTGCTTCTGGAATAATACCACAAAACTTTCAGTGACTTAAAACAATGCACTTTTTATCTAGAGTCAGAAGTCTGTTATTTGGTCTCAGCCAGCAGAGTTGCTTTGCTTCCTGAAGGTTCTTGGTGAGAATCCACTCTCTTGTCTTTTTTAGCTTCTATAGGACACTGTCATAGGATATTCCCTGTGTCTTCAAAGCCTGTAGTGGCAGATAAAGTCTTTCTTAAGTCATGTTATTGTGACACTGGCTATTTTGCCTCCAGTTTCCTCAGTTAAAGGAATAACATTGGTCCACCTGAATCATCCAGGCTAATCTCCCTACTTTAAGGTCAACTGATGAGCATTTTTAATTCTACTGACTATCTTATTGTGCCTTTATCTGGCAACTTATCATATTTACAAAGCTCTGGGTTTGAGATGTAAACCATTTGTCTACCTTTAAAGCTCTCTTTGCCCAGGTTGGCCTCCATGCCCAGTACATCAGAATGTCTGTGAGTGACGGTTAGGCTTCAGCCATTGTTAATGGATTTGGGACTCACTGATCATATTAGAGGAAATGACTAGCTCCTGTGATAAGGAAAAAAAAGTCTCTGAAAACTGTCCCTCTAAAATACAATCCCTTAAGAAGTCTTCTCCAAGAACTCCATTTTCCTGTTTATCTCTTTGCATTTGGCTAATAAATACCAGTACCTACTAGGTTCTAGAACTTTAAAGAGTGTTTATAGCCCATCTCACCCTCTTTTATTATTATTATTTTCTTATTTTATATATCGATCCAAGTTCCCTCTTTTCCTTCCTCCCTTCCATGCCCCCTGACCCCTCTTCTATCCCATCCCCCTCCCACTGCACAGGAAGCCTGATGCCTTCCAGGAGGGATCATCCTCCTGGAAAAATCTATCAAGTCATTTGGAGTATGGTCTAGACCCTCCCTTCTGCCTCTAGGCTAAGGGAGTATCCCTCCATGGGGAATGTGCTTCCAAAGCCCTTTTGTGCACTAGGGATACATCCTTGTTCCACTGTCAGAGGTTCTTAGTCTGCCCAGGCCTTCTAACTGAGATCCACGATCAGGGGGTTTGGGTTGGTCCAATGCTGGTTTCCCAGCTATCAGTCTGGGGTCCATGAGCTCCCCCTTGTTGAGGTCAGCTGTCTCTGTGAGTTTCTTTGCCTGGTCTTGATTCCATTTTCTTATCATTCCTCCCTCTCTGCAACTGGATTCCAGGAATTTGTGTCAGTGTTTAGCTGTGGGTGTCTGCTTCTGTTTCCATCAGCTACTAGATGAGGGCTCTATGATGGCATATACATTAGTTATCAATCTTATTATCATGGAAGGGCATATAATGTAGCCTTTCCACTGGTGCTCAGATTGTTAGTTGGGGTCATCCTTGTAGGTCTCTGGACATTTCTCTAGAGTCAGATTTCTCTTCAAACCTATAATGGCTCCCTCTATTATGGTATCTTTTTTGCTCTCGTCAATTTGTCCCCTGACTCAATCTTCCTGGTTCTCCTCTCCTTCTCTCCCATTTCTCCTAACCCCCTCTCCACTTACTGCCCCCCTCACTCCAAGTATGCTCAGGAGCTCTTTTTCCTTTCCCCTTCTGTGAGGGACCTTGTATGAATCTCTTAGGTTCCTCCTTGTATCCTAGTTCCTCTGGCAGTGTGAATTGTAGGCTGGTGATCCTAAAACCCATATGTTCCTCTTTTTGTGACTGGGTACCTCACTCAGGATGTTTGCTTCAAGTTCCATCCATTTGCCTGCGAATTTCAAGATTCTATTGTTTTTTTTTTCTTTTGAGTAGTATTCCACTGTGTAAATGTGGCACATCTTCTTTATCTATTCTTCAGTTGAGGGGCATCTAGGTTGCTTCCAGGTTCTTGCTATTACAAATAATGCTGCTATGAACGTAGTTGAACAGATGTCTGTTCCATCTCACCCTCTTAGGTATGTTCTCTCATTCCCTGTGTCACTAACATATGATCAGCCACCTATTATGTGTCAGAAATGAATACAGAATTAGGAAAACATATTGGGAGCTTGGTATGCTCTAAGTTAATAGCTGTATATGTTCTAGAAGGTTAAGGATAGAAATATTAGAGTGTAGATTCCCCCCCCTCAAATCATAATGTTTTTCGTTTTAATACTTCTGAATGTTCACTTTTAAAAATATGTTGAGTTGTAAGACAGAAATGTAGAGATTGCAAAAGCTATAAAAATATAAAGAAAATTCTGAGATACATACTCCAGAGTCTCACTTTGTAGTGCAAGTTGGTCTCAAGCACACAAACCTGCGTCTGAGTCTTTTTCTTCTATCCTAGAAAGTCTGCTTTCTTTCAGCCATGCAAATCTACAAGCCTCATGCAATTGGTGCCCTGAGAAATCTAGGTGTGACTTATATCAGCTGTGGTTATGAGCACACTGCAGTACTTACCCAGGTAACTCAAAAACGCACTTCTCCTTTTTAGTCATCAGTTAACTAGTAAAAAAAAAATATGTGTGTTGCTTATTGTTGAAAACAAGTGATCTTGGTCTGTCCAGGTTACTGTCACGACGCCCCATCAATTGGAAGCTTATAGACATACTTCTGACAGCTTTAGAAGCTGGGGTGTCCAAGATCAAGGTGCCAGCAGGTTTACATATAGTGATGGGTAACACTCTGACTCTAGGTGACAATTGCTGTGTTCTCATGTTGAAGGTGTCCGAGTGTCCTCTCTCGAGTCAAGAGAATCATTTTATTAATGAAGGATTTACCCTCATGATTGAACCATCTATCAAAGGACCCCATCCTACCCCCTAACAGCACTATGTTAGAAATTAAGTTTTGTTTTAAAGATTTATTTTGTGGGTATGAATGTTTTGTCTGCATGGATGTCTGAGTGCCACACACAACGTTCATGGAGACCAAAAGAGGGGCCAGATCCCCTGGAACTGACATTACAGACAGTTGTCAGGTTCCTTGTGGGTCCTAGGAACAGACCTTAGTTTTTCTGCAGGGGCAACAGGTGTTATTAACTGCTGAGTCTTCTCTCTAGCTCCTCGAAATTAGGATTTTAAATTTATAAGTTTTGAAACACAAGTGTTCAAATATGACATACGTTGAATTTCAGTATCGAAACCTATTTAATGTACGAATGTCTAAAGTAGAAAACTGAACTAAATATAAACTAAAAGATATTTCAAGATACTGTAGTCGAAGCTAACATAGGAGCTAATCTTTTAGGTCAGGATTCACTCACTGTCAATGCAGGTCTACAGAAAAATTTGTTTTGTCATTTTCAATAACCCACTCTGCAGACAAGAACACACTTTGTTACATTCCTTGCTTGATTCAACAACCAGCAAGTTTTGTTAGTGTTTTCCTCTACCTCTTGTTCTGGCTGTCCAGTGTATTTCAGCAGGTTTGATTCCTCTGCTCATCATAAGGAACAGACTTGAAAATGATGTCTGTAATTTAAATGCATGCTTTGAAATTGCATTCTGCAGGACCAAATAAGAGTATCAATGACAGAATGCTAGCCTTATTGGATTTGATTTTCAGTGCCTGAAAATGATTTTTAAATTTCACTATTATTATTAGCTACTAGTATTTTCAATAGATAAAATGGAGGACCTTAGAAATGCTAGATGAGCGCTTTACCACTTAGCTATATTCCTAGTTCACCAAATTATTATATTATTTTTAGTATTTGTTTTAAAGCCATGACTTAAGTTAGGAAACCTCAATTGCTTGAATTATATTAATCTTAGTCGACAAGAGGAAGCTAGCTCTGTGTGTGTGTGTGTGTGTGTGTGTGTGTGTGTGTGTGTGTGTGTGTGCGCGCGCGCGCGCAAGTATGATAGGATCCAGATTCCCTGGAACTAGAGTTATAGGTGGTGGTGAGCTGTCTGACAGGGGTAGTAGGAATCAAACTCTGGTCCTCTGTAAGAGCAGTGCATCCTTCTGAGTGCTCAGCCATCTTTCCAGCCCCTCTCTTTGCAATCTTAAGTGTGTAATATATTTTTAACATCTTTAAAGTGCATGATTTTAAAGAAAATTCCACAAATAAACTAACAAATAATCTTTGAAATAAATAAATAATTTTGGAATAATTTCTTAGAAATTTGTAAGTAAATGAATGTAAATAATTTTGGAATACATTGTGGAAATTTATAAGTCAATTTATAAAATATACAAACCAATTTCACCTATTGCTTTCATCTTGTGATAGTTATATTTTAAAACATGAAATTAATCTGATTTCTTATTTTTAAACAGGATGGGCAAGTGTTTACATTTGGAAAAAATAGCTCTGGGCAGGCACAGGAAAGCCCCAGTAAGAGAAGAGACCCACAACTCGTGGAAGGAATTGATGGCCAAGTTTCAAAGATAGAGTGTGGAAGGTATTGAGTCTTTTTTAAAAGTTTGAATAGAAAGTATTATTCTTATTACTTATAAACCAAAAGACACGTGGCTATACTTTCAATAAAGCATTTTCTTGAAAATTTACTTATTTCAGATATACTTTAATTCAAAATTCTCATTTCTATTAATAATTATGCAACAAATAGTTAATAGAAGTTTAGTATGTATAGGGCACCGTACTATGGGGAGAGGGTAAGAGAGAGGTAAATAATAAATGTTTGTCATCTTCAGGAGATTAGACAAATTAATCTCAGGCATGCAGAACATGCTGACTATTTGTATATACTCAGGGTTTTGGATAACCTAATTATGAGGGCATTTTGAGTATTTCTGTATCTAAACCAGCACATTAAAAAATAAAATGCTTGAAAAAAATAAAACAAAATGCTTGAATTCAGAACACATGGACTAGAATATGAGACTCAGAAATAAATTTACACTGATACAGCACCATACAAATGGTGCTAGTAAAACTGGATATCCACCTTAATAAAAATAAAATTAAAGTTATATCTCTTACCCTGCACAAAAAAAATAAATAGTTCAAAGTTAGTCTCTGGAAGGTAGCTCAGTGACTAAAGTGCTCAAAGCACAAGCATGAAGACCAGAGCTCATATCCCCAGAACACATGTAAATGCAGGGGGGGTGGTAATGGCAGTCCACTTGCAATTCCAGCCTTGGAAGGCAAAGACAAGGCATCCCCAAGAGACTAATCATATCAGCAGTCTGTGGCTGGGTTCATTAATAGATGCCCACCTTAATGAACAAGAAATAAAAGTGATAGAGGAAGATTCCCAACTTCAGCCTTTGGCCCCCATAAGCACACACACATACATTGCCCACACTCATATGGGCATGCATACCTACACACATGAACACCATACATACACAGACACAGGAAAAAGAAAAGCAGCAAAGTCAACTCAAGTGGATTCCAGACCTTAATTTGAAACCTGAAACCCTGAAAATGCTAGAAGGAGGCAAGAGTAAAATCCTTCAAGATGCAGGCATGGTCAAACTTTCTGAGTGGGTCTCTAATAGAACAAACTTTCTGAGTGGGTCTCTAATAGAACAGAAATAGCTCCAAGAATTAACAGATTGAATCGGGTGGCATTTGAAAGCTTGTGCAAAGCAAGGGAATCTACTGGCAGAGTGAACAGACAGCCTACGGAATGGGAGAAAATCCTTGCCAGCTACTTCAGACAGAGGGCTAAGACCTAGAACATAGAAACACACCCAAACTGCTAATAAATGGGCCATGAATTGAGCACATTTCTCACAATAAACAACACAAATGACCTGTAAACATTTTTAGACATGTTTAACATCTGTTACCTTTGAGATCCCACCTCACCCCTGTCAGACTGGCTGTTACCAAGGGAAAAAGGCACAGGGAACTTGGTGAGGGCGGGGGGGGGGGGGGGGGAATCCAGTGCTGGTGGGAATGTAAACTGGTGCAGTCCCATGGAAACCAGCACAGAGCTTTCTCAAACAGTTAAAAGAAGAACTACCATTTGGCCCAGCTGTAGCACTCTTGGACACACACACACATGAAGAACTCCATAGCTTACCACAAATACTTGCAACTACTCACAAAAGCAGGGAAATAATATCAGCCCAGATGTCTCTTGATAGACAATAGGGAATGAGAATGAGATGCGCATATACAATGGATTCTTTCTGCAGCTATCCAGAGAAATGGAATATGAAATTTTCAGGAAAATGGATAGATCTGGAAATTACTATATTAAGAGAGGTGACCCAGTCACAGACGAGTGTGTGTTCTTTCTCATTCAGATCTTAGCATCTACTGTTTGTCTGTCTATATACACGTGGGTGAAAGCGTCATGAAACTATAAAGGGAGCCAGAAAAGGGAGAAGAGACGCGTTGAGAAAGGAGAGCAATGGAGCACAGGTGACATGAAGGCAGAAAAGACCATACAGGTGTGGGAGTGTAAGGGAGGAGGGACACAGAGGGATGAGGACAAGCATGGCAAAGAGGATCTACAACCGCAACAACGAAAAACGTTTGAGGGCGTCATGATGCAGCCACATATTTTGTATGCTAAGTTTAAAAATTAAGAATAAATGCATAAAATCCACAATCTGTAGCTAAGCTGGTAGAGTGCTTGGCAGTGGAGTAAGGGTCTGAGAAAACGCTGAAGGAAGATCCCAGACTCGGACCGTGTGCAAAAGCAAAGAGCATTTATCTGCAGAAACAGCCAGCATATGCAGGGTCAGCCATGTCGACCGTGAACAAAGGCACTCGGGTGCTTTTAAGCAGGTGGGGGAGGTTGAGGAGCAGTTGGTCATCTCAAACATAACTGGTTAAGCAAGCAGCAGTCACATTAGTGCCCTTTTCATTGGCTGAGTTTAGTCTTGTCTTTGTCTTGCTCAAGCTTGGACAAGTCCGGACATGACTCAGAAGGGACTGCAGGAATTGTCCTTGAGACATTGTGGGGCTGACTAAGGCCTGTATGTCTTTTCCCCTCATCTCTGAATGAAAGGATGTTGTGGATGAAGGGCCCTTTGTTGTGAGAGACACCTGTTTTGCACCTCTCAGAGATCTGAAACCTAAATTCAGTTGTGAGAGTGAGTGAGTTTAACCCCTTCATTAGCACACACTAAATCCTGGATTAGATCCTGAGAATCACAGTCTAAACATGGTGGTAGTGGTGGCAGGTGTGATTTTGGTGACTAGAGAGGGTAAGGCAGCAGGATCAGAAAATGAAGATTATCCTGTGTGTAGCACTTGTATGGAGAGATAGTTTCAAGCCTCGGTTTCAAAACAAAAAACAAAAAAGCCACACTATAGAAAGCATAGTAACTCTGCAGCGCTAATGCTATTTTTAATATTACCAGTAAGTTAATGACACTGTTTAGTGCCATCATCTTGTTTGTTGCAACACTAACACTGAGTGGTCGTGAAGGTAAATCTGTCATTTTGTTTGTCCTAGAAATCACGAGTATGGTTCTTTGGAATATCATATTATCATTGCATTGTATTTTGTGTTGTAGTTATCACACCATTGCATATGTCTACACCACTGGTCAGGTGGTATCTTTAGGCCATGGACCAAGTCCCACAGGTAACCAAACTCACCAGGAGGCCCCAGCAGAGAGCTCTGATGTCACCTGCCTGCTCTCTGCAAAAGGTATGAGGGCTCCCACTAGCTCAGGGCTGACTTCCGTAGGATCCCACTGAGCTATGCTTATGGTTCCTAGCTCTTTTATTTAAAATTGCTGCATTGCATTTTTTCCCCTGGAGTAATTGGTAATCATTTCTAAAAATTTAACCAATACAAAAGAAGACATCAAGTTGATTACTTATGTATCTTAACAGCATGTTTGATATATTTAAGCAAACATCTAAGCATGTCAACCCTGGTTCATTGTGGAAGTACCTAGATAATCAAAACATTTTTTTGAATGAATAACATTTGATGTGGTCAAAACTAAATTCTTTGTGCTATTTGTAATAAAAAAAAATGGGAGAGTATAAATTTTCAACCAATTAATAAATTTGACTTTGCTGTATATAGATTAATTTTCCCCAGGTAAAACTCTAAACATGTATATTTTACCTTTTTTTAGGCCTCGTGGATATTCAAGTCAAAGACATTTTTGCTGGAGCATATGCCAACTTTGTGACAACTCATCCAGTATCAGTATGTGTTCTTTTTAAAAGTATTTTTTACTCTAGAGCTCAGGAATGATTTCTTTTTACGCTGCTGAGGAAGCAAACTCAGAGCCTTGTACTTACTAGGCAAGCATTTTCCCCTGAACCATACCCACCTTTTCCTAAATTTCAGGCTAGTGTTTGAGATGTTGTATTTTTCATGTTTTCCGATTCCTTACTAAATTATTGTGTTCCTCTGTTAAAATGGTTCTAAACACTGGAATGGTGGGCAATTTAATAAGACCTGGTCCCCAAAAAATGAACAGAGGGCTGGGATATAGTTCCGTGGAAGAATACTTGCCCAACAACACAAAAGCCCTAGAAAAGCCCTAGATTTGATCCCAAAGTGAGGATGCCAGGAGATGGCGGGGGGGGGGGAGGGGGGGGGACGCTAGGACAAAAGAAAAGAGGGCGATGGGACAGGGGACACGCCTGAAAGAGAAGAGGGAAGAGAAGAACAAAGTCAAGCTGTGGGATAATGTGGAACGCAGAGGAACAAAGAAGACATCTAAGAATGGTTTCTGACACACAATCCCGGAGGTGGCTTATCCACAGAAGCAACAGCACACAGAAGTCAAGTCAGAGGCACACCCAGTTTAATTTTCCTTTGGGAAGGGAAGATAGTGTTATTTTAACAAAGAGCAAGAAAACTGCCTGGGGTGGGGTCAGAACAAGAGGAGGAGAGGAAGCTTTGTGACAGCTGAGCCGTTCTGATGGAAAAGTAAATTAGAAGATCGCGGGAGGGTTTCTCATGACTCACTGAAGGAGTAGCAGAAGAATGTCCCAGAGCAGGAGGGAGAAAATGGAGTCCGGTGGGGCATCTGCTCCTCTGTGGCTGTGATGAGACACAGTGATGGAAAGCCAACAGGAAATGAAAGGGTTGAATCCCCTTGCAGCTTACAGCCCATGGAGAAGGGAAGTCAGGTAGGCACTCAAGACAGGACCTCAGTGACAGGAACTCAAGTAGAGACCATGGAAGCACACTTACTGGCATGTTCCATACTTTTCTCATAAATCCCAGGCTCACATGCTTGGGGATGGTACCACCCACATCAATTATTAATGGAGAAAATGCTCTAGAGACACCAAGTACAGTCCAATCAGATAGAGTCGACTCAATTGAGATTACCTAAGCTTTATGTCAAGTTGACAAAAACTATGGCAAGTGCAGAACTGAGATGTCTGAGCAGAGATATAGACTGTTGTGACTGCTAGTTGGGGGTAAGCTGGTGGTTAGTTATTGCTGATGACTAAAGCTAATGTGAGTGGGAGAGAAGTAAAGGCAAAAGAAGATGTGTATTGTTATCTTGAGGGGGGGAGAGAGAGGAGAAAGGGAGGGAGGAAAAGAGGGAGAGATGGGGAAAGAAGAAGAGGAGAGGGAGAGGAAGGGAGGGAGAGACTGTCTTTAGAAATATCCATTTGAAATTTGTGGTCATAGACTGAGTTTCCTGGGTCAGCACCCTGTGAAGTTGTCCTCCGTGGTGGTAGACATTTGGAATTGACTTTGGATTAACCCGGACGGGAACATAGTGACAGCTGGAATTTTGCATTACCATAAAGGAGTTGTGAGAGCGATTAGAGCAGTGAAGCATAGGAGATGTTGATGGAGAGTAAGATAATCATGAAATCTGAGATCTGAGTACAGGAGAGGATGCTGCACCCGGGGCTTCACTCTAAGAATGAATCAAGAAAATGGCGTGTGATGGTCAGAAGAGCTGTTCCAAACTCACCCTTAAAATAGAGCAATTGTTAATGATCAGGTCTAGTTTATGGCCTAGAAATAAAGTGGGGTGTGCCAAGTGTGATTTTGCATCCTAGCAACCGTTTGGAGGTGTCTGCAGATCTTTTCGATTGGCGCATTGACAGTGACGACTCCTGGTATCTAGTGGGCAGGGGCTAGGAGCAGTGAGAATTAAATATCTTATTATGTGCAGGATCCTTCACAACAAAGAATTATCCAATCCCAGGTGTCAATCATTTCAGTTTAGAAACCTTACCCAGATCATGAAGGGCTAAAACAAGAAGAGACAGGAGTGGAGATAAGGTTGGGAAAGGAGATACTAGAATAAAAGATAGAGTGCTTCCATCAACTTTGAAGCTGCCAAGAATGAAGACAAAAGCATGATGACAGGAGCAGTGGGGGGGGGGGCACACAAGCGATGCGTGCTTATTAAGTTTCCAAGGAAGGAGGGGCAGAGGGCACAGTCCAATATCCTGCACATAGAGGAGCTCAGGGCTTCGAGTAAATGACATGTAAATGTCAGTAGGTGGCAGCACGTTGCACTGAGATCCTTGGATGTAGGAGAAAATAAACCTTGCTATTGATAAACTACAAAGATACTAGGATTCAGATGAAGGAGCTCAGGTCGGGTGTTGAGGTGTGACTCAGTGGCACCTCTGCTTGTGCGAACAAGGCTCTGGCTCAGACCTCATCACTAGGAACTGGTTGGGGGGGGGGGGGCTTGCAGCATAGTGGTACAAATATTTTTCGAGAGGATTTTATTTGATTTCTGGGGAAAAAAAAAAGTGATATAGAGTTTTGCTAGACATGTCAAGTTCAAGTTCAGAAGAGATGGAGGTCACTTTTATACAAGTTTTCACTGTGTATCAAATCTGATCTAGAACTAGGATCTTCTTATAACAGCCTCCTGAGTGCAGAGAGGACAGGCATATGCCACTATGTCCAGCCACTTCAATTTATATATACATATATATCACATCACCAAGTACCCAGTGTTCAGGAGACTGAGGCAGGAGGATCTCAAATTTCAGGCCAGTCTGAACTGTACAGTGAGGCCCTATCTCAAATTACATATGTGGTGCATGCTACCATTTAAAACACATTGCCTAAAGTATTCTGTGGCATTAATTGCATTCATAATGCCATCAACTATTTTCACTACCTCTCAAACCTTGTAATCAGCCCAAACAGACACCTGATGTTTATTAAACAATAATTCCTCACTCTCCACCTCCTCAGTCTTAGGTAGTATTTGCTTTCTGTAAGCTGGTATATTTTATACAAGTGGAATCTTATAATGCCTTCTGTCTTTATTTGATTTATTATAGCATGTTTTATTATACACCCACCTTATATTAGTTTATCAATTTCTTCAATGCTAAATAATGTTTCATTGCATATTATATATCTTTCATATTGAAAATGCACTCACCTGTTGATTGATATGTGCTATTTCCATCTTTTAACCATGTGAATAATGGTAAGATTAATTTTTATTTATGAACACCCACTTTAGTCTCTATTTTCAATTTCTCTTGTCTTACTATACTTTCTAAAATGCAGACCAAGTGAAATGGCCCAAGTCAGAAAGCCAAATGTCCAGGCCAATCTGATGCCAAAGCTCAACCCATCAAACACATGCCCAAGAAGGCAGAACTTACGTGTGCAAGATGCTTTATTGACTGTTACTCAATATGTGTGTACATTTGCTGGTCACTTTTGCCTTTATTTTCTTCCTTGAAGCATACCAGGTCCACAAGTGTTTCCATGAAAATCCTGCCAAAAATTAGCCACATCAACCAGTCGCTAGCAGAGAAATGGGTAGCAGCAAAAAGAAAAAAAGAACACAAAGAAACCAAAAGGTGACCCAGCTTGATGACTTACAGCCACTTCCATCTTTTAAATGCTGATCACATTGTCCTAGTTGTAAGAAAGAAAGTTTGGCTTTGCTGTGACAGAACAATTCTCTTTTACTATCTCTTGGTTGGATCCATTGTTGATGTACACAGCAATTAATCTTTTATTTACTATATGTAAGGGCTACAGGAAGAATGTATACCCCACAAGACTGAATTAATGTAGGTTGTATTGCTCTCAGGTCTTCATAGTTGACTCACTAGCATTTCAGAATTTAGGTCTTCAGAGTGATGGATTTTATTTAAATATCTAGAAAATCAATTATGAAGAGCTTTGATGAGACTCAGTAGTAATAACCACAAGTAGTATACTCATAATCTGGGTATTCATAATGAATTTAGAGCTCCATATTTTACTCAGGCATAAGATAAAGGAGGCTTTAGGTATATCTAGCCTGCAGCCTACATGCCATGTAAATCCTAGGCTAGCTATAAGTACTACCCAATATATGTGTATATGACAGTGGCTCTCTACCTTCCTAATGTTGCAACCCTTTAATACAGTCCCTCATAGTGTGGTGACCTCCAACCATAAAATTATTTTTTTGCTACATCATAACTGTAATTTTGCTACTATTACGATTTATAATGTAAATATCTGATATTTCTAATGGTCTTAAGTGATCCCTATGAAAGAGTCATTCAACCCAAGAGGGGTCATGGTCCACAGGGTGAAGACTAAGTATATGACAATATTACCTCACAATGTCAGAAGACTGAACACTCTTGTCTGGTTTTGAATTTGCCTTTGTTATTATATTTGCAGGAAAATCAGCATAATATTTTCATCTCCTGCTTGTTTGACTGCAAGCTTTTTGAAGAAAAGGTAAAAATACAATGGGAATTACCATAATTTAAAATGCTGGGTGGTTATTTAAAATGAAAATTATAGAACCAGGTTGCGTAAGAAGTATGGTTTTTCCGCCTGCCGCTGCTGGTCTTGTCCCGCCGCCGCGCCAGCCCCAAATAATGCACAGAGACTCTGTATTTGATATTATGCTGTTGGCCAGGTGCTAGTTATTTTGTGCATGGTATGTTTAAAAAAAAAAGCAAGTAATATCATCTGCAGTTTTATTTTCATTTGTTTATGTGGTTTTAACATTTATTGTGTTTACAGAGATACTGAAGAGAATTTTATTGATGTGGACTTAAAAATGGCAAGGAATGTCTTCAAGAAGTTAACAGCAGTGAAATGGATTTCTTCCTTGGTAACAGCCACTATTTATTTGGCTTACTTGAGATACAGCATAATCACACTTCTTTATAGGAATAATATAATAATGGCTCAGTTTTGGTGGGAAGTGGGTGGCAAGGACCTGTGGACAGGGTTGAATAGGGGCCAGTCTCCATTATGAAGGTACTATATAGTTCAGACATTGTAAAAGGTTGTGTCATTTAATTCTTTTTAAACCATTAAATGTGCGCTGGATGTAGTCTTTTTTGCTTTCAAAATGAGGAAAGTAATGCTGAGACAGGAATCTAGTAATACATGTGAAAAGAATGGTGTGGGTTAAGAAGCAGTATACCCTCTGGTGAGTGGTTTTAAAAAAACAATGTCTGTTTTGAGATGAATCCTGGGTGTGTGCCTAATGAATCTCTGCTACTGATTCATCCCTTCTCTTCTTTAGGTAACATTTTCTTTAGTTATGATTTTAGTTTGATTTAAAGTCTGTGGTTCTGGGATGTGTAGAAAGGAAACTACAACTTGTGAGTACAGGAATTACCAATTACCTGCCAATTAACAATAGACAGCTATCAGGATGTCTTGGTACATTGGGACACCACAATATTGTGTAGCATGTAGTATGGGTGTCTTATAAACAAAGGAAATTGACTTTTTATAGCTTTGGAGCTGGAATATTTGGAAACTCTAAGATTAAGCTGCCAACACAACTAGTATCTGATAAGGAGGAAATTGATAGAAGACTGTGTCTTCATTGTGTTTTCATGTAGTAGAAGGAAAGGGCTAGGGATTTTACTTATAAGACCACTAATCCCATTGATGAGGACTCTATTTTCATGACCTAATCATCAACAAAATTCTTTGCTGCATTGAAAGGTAGGATTTCAACATATGAATTTTGGGGAGACACAGACAATCTGTTGCACAAGAAAAAGGAAGACAGGATGATTCACTTGCACTGAAGGCTAGGGACAGCATTTGTGTACTAACTTATTGGGAAAAGAAAGGGAGAAAAAGGACATCTATGGGCGGAACAAATGGGTTTCTACAGAGAGAGATGGGAAACATGTCTACCTCCTCATTCATGTGTATGTGGTCTTGAGTGCTCAGTTTCCTTCTCGGTAATGAAGCGACCTAGCAGGGATTTATGACAGCTTTGCTCCCAGGAGTCTCCACATGAATCAGATGTAAGAGGAGCTCCAAAACGACTGTTTCTGCCTTAGCTATATCTCAGTTGACCTTGGTTTAAAGTAATCTTCAGGGTTGGTGTAGCTCAGTACCAGTGTACTTGCCTAGCATACATGAGCCATAATTCATTCTCCTTTACCATATACACAAGTATATGTGTGGCTAATCTCTATACCATTTAAAAGGATCCAAGCACATTCTACATTTGGAAGAGAATGGGGGAACTTTTGCTTACTGTGTAGTACATACTGTACTTTTATTTTTAAGATAAAGAATAGTAGATGATGTTCAGTACCTTTGGTCCAAGAATTTATTTAGATGATAGGGAGATAGTGCCAGGTGCTCTTCTCCATGCAATTTCTGTGGCTGTGGCTGTGAATTTATGACCATTTTCTCTATCTTTGAGTGTTGCACAACCATATCTGGTTTAGATGGTGCTATGGGTCAAAGCCAGGGCTTCAAGCACACTAAGCAAGCCAAACCCTCACCCAAATTGAGTTGGAATTTGTGAACTCAAGTGACCCCCCCCCCATCTCAGCCTTCTGAGTAGTGGACTCCACACATGTACTAGTGCAATCAGCTTACAGAATTGTTTCTGGGGAACTTTGCCTTAGTTTCAAGCTATTTACTGTGTGTATCTGTTTACATGTGATTTCACTTTATTTTCTTAATGCATCCTACAATAAAATAGACAGATGGCTCAAAAGAGTCCTGCCTCAAAGGTACATAGAATGTTTAAAGGTTGGTGGTGTTTTATCAATAAGTTCAGGACTTAAATGGACTTCCTAGTTAGAAGATAGTAGAATGAAACCCACAGACATAATTTGTACTCAGTCACAATACTGTGTCTTCTATAACCCTAGCCTTATTCTTTGTCCCCTTTTGACCACAGATAACCACATGTCTTAAGGATAATCTGCTCGGACGTCTTCCATACCATTCTGTACATCAAGATGCTCTATTGATTTTTCTTTTGCTCCCAGAATGTCTACTGATGCAGAATGCTAAAAACTGGGAAACCCTGGCATTTGAATTTGCAAAGGCTATTTGTAAAATGAATGAGAAATCATTAGCAATCTTGAGTAAGTTTTATATCATTTTATAAATATATTCAGTAGAATCACTTTTGCAGTAGAAATTGGAGCAGACATTGGATGGATTTCATACCTATTTGAGTATATGGTACATGAAGTTTTGCAAAGGCTTGAATGGGACTTTAGTCTTAAACTTTGTTAGTTAACCATACAGTGTCCAGTCAAGGGAAATCATACTTTACAATGCTCAATCACTTTTTGAAAACTTCAAACATTTGATAAAGAGTGATTTTAAAAAATTAAGGTTAAATTTATCACTGTTATTATATTCAAAATTAAGGTATGTTCATAATTTTAAATGAATGTTGAATGTTGGATGCTTTAAAACCACAAAGGTATGTATGAGTGGACTATAAATGATCCCTGTAGTACTTTAGAAGGAGATTAAAGACTCTAAGTTTTATGAGTAAACATCAAAACCCCCCTTTTATAGTAATTTGGGAGATGGGTAAGTGCACATGTTCCAGCCCTCAGCACCCACATGAAAAGGTGGCGTAGCTGTGAGCACCTCTAACCCCAGAGTCTGGAGGAGCAGGGGAAGGAGAAGAGCTGAGGCTTTCTGGCTACTAGACTAGCTCCAGATTCAGTGACAGACCCTCTCTCAAAGGAATAAGGCATAGAATGATGAATCAAGACAATGGGCATCCTTCTCTGACCTCTGTGCATGTGCACACAAATGTACACACACACACACACACACACAAACATTTATAATAACACTCTCTCAAGAAATACCAAGTGTTGCTTAAGGGTTACATTAAACTAACTCTTAAAGTTCCCATCACTTTCACATTGCTAGTGCACAGTGCACAGGCCTAGGGGAACAAACTCCAGTCCAGAAGATGGAATGTGCTATGGACAGTTGCTTCCATTCTTCTGCTGCTATAATAGTAATGCCAGGCATTTCTTCAGTGTATATAAACTTACATGTGCAAGAAAAGCACAAAGCACAATTACAGGATTAGGTTATTAAATTATATGTGCATTTTATTGGTTGAATGAACACTGTATTTTGAAAATTAAACATAAAAACTATGTGTGTGTACTTTAAATGAATTAATGCACATCAAGGGTGTACCAGAGCTGATGGAGGCATGGAAACAATATCAGATGCCCTGGAACTGGCCTTATAGACCATTGTGAGCCATCGTGTGGGTGCTGGGAACTGAACCATGAAGCCATCTTTCTAGCTCCAGCATTTGCATTTTTTTTCCAAGAGAATTTTCTGGGTGTGGGAGTGAACATCTGTAGTTCCAGCACTTGGAAGTTAGAGGAAGAGGACCAGGAGTTCAGGGACCACCTTGGCTAAATTGTGAAGCCTGGGTTACATAAGACATTTTCTCAAAAAGTGCTTTTCTTTTATTTGTTTATTTATTTTATATAACCAAGTCCATTTAAATGAAAACAAACATTTATAGACAATATTTGGGAATTTGGGAGTTGTTCTTTCCAAACTACTTCCTGCTGGTAAGGGGCACTGTCATGGAGGATTCTAAGAAGATGCAGAAATCCTGGCTGTAGTCTGTAAGGCTACTTTGTCCAGCTGTTTTGAATGTAGAATCACCTGGTACTCTGTTTCAGGTGGTCTGGCTTGATCAAATCACATTAGTCTGGAAGGAATCCACAGCTTTTCATTTTCTGTGGCAACAAAAATAGAAATCCTTTTCCCCAGTAACTTGTCCTTGAACTTAAATTTTGGAGTCAAAGCATTTTTTTTAATTTAATTTATTATTTTACATGTCGATCCCAGTTCCCTCTCCCTCCCTCCGTCCCTCCCTCCCTCCCTTCTTGCCTCCCTTTTATCCTCTCTGCCCTCTCACATGCACTCTAACCACCCTCCCCTCCCATCCCCACCCCAATTCCATATGTAGGGGAATGCCATCCAGTTGGGGTCATATAGCTCTGACAGGTCATGTGAAGTAGGGACTAGGGCTTCTCTCCTGTCTCTGGATTAAGGCAGTTATCCCTCCATGGGGGATGTGTTCGCAAGGTCCTTTTGTGCACCAGGGATACATCCTGGCTCCACTGTCTGAGGTCCCTTAGACTGTTCAGTCTTTCTGGCTGAGACCCATATTCAGGGGGGCCTGAGTCAGTCCCATGCTGGCTTCCCAGCTATCAGTCTGGTGGCCCGTTAGCTCCTCCTTGTTCAGGTAAGCTGTCTCTATGTGTTTCTGCCGCCTGGTCTTGTCCTCTCCGTCTGCATCCTGGCAATCCCCCTCTTAGGCATATACCCAAATGATCCACATCCATGCAACAAAGGCATCTGTTCAACTATGTTCATAGCAGCACTATTTGTAATAGCAAGAACCTGGAAGCAACCTAGATGCCCCTCAATTGAAGAATGGTTAATGAAGATGTGGCACATCTACACAATGGAATACTATTCTGCAGAAAAAAATAATGGTATCTTGAAATTCTCAGGCAAGTGGATGGCACTTGAAGAAACCATCCTGAATGAGGTAACCCAGTCACAAAAAGAGGAACACAGTATGTACTCACTCATATATGGATTTTAGACCTAGATCAAAGGATCACCAGCCTATAATTCACACCACCAGAGGAACTAGGATACAAGGTGTATTCTAAGAGATTCATATAAAGTCCTTCACAGAACCAGGAAGGGACAAGTCCCCCAGAGGACAGGGGAAGTGGGGGGGGTCAGTGAACGGAGAGAGAAGTAGGAGAAAACGAGGGGGAGGAAAGGAAAACATGTGCGACCAGGAAGATTGAGCCCGGTTAGGAATAGAAGACAAGAGAAAGAGAGAGAGAGAGAGAGAGCATAAAAGAGGGAGCCAATATTGGTTTGAAGATAAAATTGAACACAAAGAAAGGTCTAGAGAACTACAAGACTGCTGCCAACTAACAATTTGAGCTTCCGTGGAAAGGCTACCATAAATGCCCTTCCCGGAGAGAGAGATCAACAACTAACTTATCCATGGAGCCCTCAACTAATGTCTGTTAGAAACAGGAGCAAACACCCATACATAAACACTGAGTTGAAAAAGTGCTTTTCTTTTCTAGATCTAGGAGTCATATTTCAAAAGGCCTGCCTTTCTCTCCAATTAAAAAAAAAATGTTTCCATGTTTCTAACACGATTTGTACATGTTTGTGTGTACCTATGATGCTGGGGACTGAGCCTGGCACCTTGCACAGTCTACTACTAAGCTATATCCCCAACACTTCATATTATCATTTTTATTTATTTGTAAAGATATTTTAATTGACAAATGGTAATTACACATACTTGTGAAATACAGTACTTTTTTATCTTCAGTTTTTTTATGTACATGGGTGTTTTGCCTGTATGTGTGTCTGTGCACCACATTCATGCCTGTGGCCAAAGAAACCAGAAGACAATGTTGGAACTGGAGTTACAGATGGTTGTGAGATGCCACGTGGGTGCTGCAAATCAAACCCAGTCATCCATAAGAGCAGCTAGTGCTCTTAACTGCCGAGCCATCTCTTCAGCCCCAATATGACATTTTTATAATGCATACAAATCAGATCAAAGTAACTGGCATATTTATCTTCTCAAACACTTCTTGCTTCTTTATGTTGGAGACATTTGAAATTCTTCCTACTAGCTATTCTTAAACAATGATTTGTTATTAGCTGCTTTACAATGTTGGGATGTTGGAAGTCTTTCCAACTGCATACTTGTGATAGTTAATTATCCTCCTTCCTCCTATCTTTATGGGATCAACACTTTTAGTTTACATTCAAGAAAGCATCACATATTCCTAGCTTATTGAGCAAGTTCTAGAGTTCTATAAATGTCAGAATTTCTTTCCTCTTATAATTTTCATGTTTAGATCTTTGATCCATACGATTCATTGATATTAGATTTTACTTTTTCTGACAAGTTTTCAATTGTCCTTTCACCTTTGTTAAGTGCTAAGTTTTATTTTCAGAATATGCAGTGTACTAAATTTCTAAATTTCTTGTATACTTGAGTCCATGATCAGCATGTTTTGCATCTAGGTATTATCACTTAATTGCATTAGCTTGAGAATTTATTTTATCCTTTTTGGTGGTTGTTTTCTGAGATGGAGTCTTTTGTAAGCCAGGATGGCCATCTTCCTGTCAATGTCTCCTGAGAACCAGGATTTTAATATTTACTGAAGTTATTGTATGAGAATGCCATTTTATTTATTTATTTATTTTAATATATTTTTCTTATTTGACATATCAATCCCAGTTCCCTCTCCCTCCAACCCTCCCTTGCTCCCTACAATCCTCTCATCCCATCTTTCATCTACTCCCCAGGGAGGGGGAGGCCTTCCAGGAGGGATCTTTGTACATTTCCCTAGTGCCAGATTTCTCTTTAGACCTATAATGGCTCCCTCTATTAAAGTATTTATTTTCTTGCTCTTCTCTATTCTTTGCCCAACTCAATCTTCCTGCTCCTTCATGTTCTCCTCTCCCTTCCATTTCTCCCTTTCTCTTTCTCCTAACTTCCTCTCCTCTCACTCCCCACCCCCAGCTTGAAATTTGATCAGGAGATCTTGTTCCGTTCCCCTTCTGTGGGGGACCATGTATATATCTCTCTTAGGATCCTCCTTATTTCCTAGCTTCTATGTTGGTGTGAATTATAGACTGGTGGTCCTTCTCTCCCACGTCTAAAATACTTATATTAGTGAGTACATACTGTTTGTCTTTTTGTGACTGGGTTACCTCACTCAGAATGGTATCTTCAAGGTCCATCCATTTGCCTGCGAATTTCAAGATTCCGTTGTGTTTTACTGCTGAGTAGTACTCCATTGTATAAATATACCACATCTTCATTATCCATTCTTCAGTTGAGAGGCATGTAGGGTGCTTCCAGGTTCTGGTTATTACAAATAATGCTGTTATGAACAGATGCCTTTGTTGCATGGATGTGCATCTTTTGGCTATGTGCATTAAGAGTAGAATTACTGGATCTTAAGGTAGACCGATTCCCATTTTCCTGAGGAACCACCATACTGATTTTCATAGTGGCTGTACAAGTTTGTACTCCCACCAGCAGTGGAGGAGTGTTCCCCTTTCTCCACATCCTCTCCAGCATAAATTGTCATTGGTATTTTTAATTTTAGCCATTCTGACAGGAGTAAGATGATAACTCAGAGTTGTTTTGATTTGCATTTCTCTGATGACTAAAGATGTTGAACACTTTCTTTTTTTCAGAATTCAACCTTTCCTTTATTACCTCAATATTACTGCTTCCTAAATTTAAAAATCTTTTTTATTTTTTAAAGTTTTTTATTAATTTTTCTTATTTTATTTTACATATAGATCCCAGTTCCCTCTCCCTCCCATCCTCCCATCTCCTCTGACTTCCCCTCTCATCCTATTTCCTGTATGTGTGTCTGTGTTTCACAGGGGAGGTGAGGCCTTCCAGGAGGGATCATTAAAATCTGTCAAGTCATTTGGGGTAAGGCCTAGGCCCTCCCTCCTGTCTCTAGGTTAAGGGAGTATCCTTCAATTGGGAATGATTGAGCACTTTCTGAAGTGTCTTTCAGACATTTTAGATTCCTCTATTGAGAATTCTCTATTTAGTTCTGTACCCCAGTTTTTAAATTGTATTATTTGGTGTTTTGGTGACTAGCCTCTTAAGTTATTTGTATATTTTTGAGATCAGCTCTCTGTCAGATGTGGGGTTGGTGAAAAACTTTTCCCATTCTGTAGGCTGCCCTTTTGTCTTGTTGACTGTGTCCTTTGCCTTACAGAAACGTCTCAGTTTCAGGAGGTCCCATTTATTAATTGTCCATCTTAGTGTCTGTGCTACTAGTGTTATGTTAGGAAGCAGTCTCCTGTACCAATTTATTCAAGGATACCTCCCACTTTCTCTCCTAAGAGATTCAGTGTGGCTGGATTTATGTTGAGGTCTTTGATCCATTTGGACTTAAGTTTTCTGCATGGCGATAGACATGGATCTATTTGCAGTCTTCTACACACCAGCATCTAGTTATGCCAGTACTATTTGCTGAAGATGCTTTCTTTTTTCCATTTAGCTTCTTTGTCAAAAAGCAGGTGTTCATAGGTGTGTGGATTAACATTGGTCTACCTGTCTATTTTTGTGCCAATACCAAGCTGTTTTCAGAACTATAGCTCTGTAGTAGAGCTTGAAGTTGGGGGTGGTGATGCCTCTGCACGTTCCTTTATTGTACAGGGTTGTTCTGGCTATCCTGGAATTTTTGTTTTTCCATATAAAGTTGAGTATTGTCCTTTCAAGGTCTGTGAAGAATTATGCTGGTATTTTGATGGGGATTTCATTGAATCTGTAGATTTGCTTTTTGGCAAGATTGCCATTTTTTACTATGTTTATCCTATGTATCCAAGTTCATGGGAGATCTTTCTATTTTCTGGTATCTTCTTTAATTTCCTTCTTGAAAGACTCGAAGTTCTTGTTATACAGGTCTTTCACTTGTTTGGTTAGCATTACCCCAAGATATTTTATGTTGTTTGTGACTTTTGTAAAGGGTGATGTTTCTCTGATTTCTTTCTCAGCCCCTTTGTCATCCATATATATTAGGGGTACTTTTTTTTTTTTTTTAGTTAATCTTGTATCCTGCCAATTTGCTGAAGGTGTTTGTCAACTGTAGGAGCTCCCTGGTAGAGTTTTTGGGTCGCTTATGTAAACTATCATATCATCTGCAAATAGTGACAGTTTGACTTCTCCCTTTCCAATTTGTATCGCCTCGAGCTCCCTTTGTTGTCTGATTGCTTTAGCTAGAACTTCAAGTACAATATTGAAGAGGTGTGAAGAGAGTGGGCAGCTTTGTCTTGTTCCTGATTTTAGAGGAATCCATTTAGTTTGATGTTGGCTGTTGGTTTGCTGTATATTGCTTTTATTATGTTTAGGTATGTTCCTGTTATCCCTGATCTCTCCAAGACCTTTACCATGAAGGGATGTTGGATTTTGTCAAAGGCTTTTTCAACATTTAGTGAGATGATCATGTTTTTTTCCTTTACAGTTTGTTTATATGGTGGATTACATTGATAAATTTTTTTTTTATGTTGAACCATCCCTGTATCCCTGGGATGAAGCCTACTTGGTCATGGAGGATGATTTCTCTGCTGTATTCTTGGATTTGATTTGTGTTTTAGTGAGTATTTTTGCAGCAATATTCATGAAGGACATTGGTCTGTAGTTCTCTTTCTTAGTTGTATCTTTGTGTTTCTTGGGTACCAAGGTAATTGTAGCCCCTTAAAAAGAGTTTTGTAATGGCCCTTCTGCTTCTATTGTGGGGAACAATTTAAGGAGTTTTGGTATTAACTCTTCTTTGAATTTCTGTTAGAATTCTGCACTGAAACCATCTGGCCCTGTACTTTTTGATTGTGAGACTTTCGAAGACTGCTTCTATTTTATTAGAGGTTATAGGTCTATTTAAGTTGCTTATCTGTTCTTGATTTAATTTTGGTAAGTGGTATCTACCCAGAAAATTATCCATTTCCTTTAAATTTCCCAATTTGTTGAGCGCAAGTTTTCAAAGTGTGACTTGAAGATTCTCTGGATTTCATCAGTGTCTGGTGTTATGTCCCCCTTTTCATTTCTGATTTTGTTAATTTGCAGAGAGATCTGCTCAATTGACTAGTTTGTATAAAGGTTTGTCCATCTTGTTGATTTTCTCGAAAAACCAACTCTTTGTTACATTGATTCTTTGTATTGTTTTCTTTGTTTCTACTTTATTGATTTCAACCCTCAATTTGATTATTTCCTGGAGTCTACTCCTCTGAGGTGAGTTTGCTTCCTTTTGTTCTAGAGCTTTCAATTGTGCTGTTAATTCTCCAATGTGACTATCCTCCATTTTCTTCATGTGGGCACTTGGTGCTATGAACTTTCCTCTTAGTACTGCTTTCAAAATGTCTCATAAGTTTGGGTATGTTGTGTCTTCATTCTCATTGTATTCTAGGAAGTCTTTAATTTCTTTCTTTATTTATTTCTTCCTCGACCCAGGAATGGTGCAATTGTGTATTGTTCTGTTTCCATGAGTTTGTAGGGCTTCTGCTGTTGTTGAATTCTAACTTTAAAGCATGGTGGTCTGCTTTATGGGGTTATTCCAGATTTTTGTACCTACTGAGGTTTGCTGTGTTGCCGAGTATGTGGTCAATTTTAGAGAAAGTTCCATGTGGCACTGAGAAGAAGGTATATTCTTTTGTGTTTGGATAGAATGTTCTATAGATGTCTGTTAAAGTCAATTAGGTCTCTACTTATGTTAGTTCTTTTGTTTCTTTGTTAAGTTTCTGTCTGGTGGTCCTGTCTAGTGGTGAGAGTGGGGTGTAGAAGTCTCCCACTGTAAGTGTGTGAGGTTTTATGTGAGATTTGAGTTTTAGTAATGTTTCTTTTATGAACGTTGGTGCCTTTGTATTTGGGGCATAGATGAGAGCTTCTGTTTAAAGTACAAAATTCCATTGTAATCTCAATAATGTTAAAAGTGAGGTATCTGTTATTTAAAATAAGCATATATGCGTGTTAAAATTGTTTATGAAATCTGAAAATGCATTATTTATTTTTACATAAAACTGTCAATAATATTGATCCGTATAGTTTTAGATTTTAGCATCTGACAAAACTGCTAGTTTGAAGTCAGCATGTGATCTTAATGTGAGCACCTAAATGGTGAAGTGGGAAGCCTGATAGAAGTTCAGGGCCAGCCTGGACTACATAACAATACCCTATCTCAGAAACATCAACTCGTATAAAAACAACAACTGTGAAAAAAACTAATCATAAATATGCACCATTAGCAAGTTTCTTCAAATCCTGAGTTTGGGTTCTTTAATTTTAACGATTCTTTTTTTTTTTTTTTTTCCAGAATAAAGCCTTCCCCTACATCTGTTGAGTAGTATGTTATCTGTGATAATATTCATAGAAGAATTTTTATGATTATGATGGTAGATATGTTGTAAATAACCCAGCAGAAACATCAGCCTGTGAGGCTGAGAGGAGGAACAGATTTACCATGTTTGATTTTCACGCCCACAGAAAAGTGTTGGCAATCTTTGGAAGCTTCTTCTCTGGATACACTGGTCCAGATGCTAAAGAAAGCTATCATCACCATCTCTCAACTGCGTGATACAGCCTCAATTAGGCAGCATGGATGTAATCTTAAAGATCTTTTAGAAGTGATGAAAAAAGTGCATGAGGTAAGGTTTCCTCTAAAAGAATGTATATACTGACTTATTAAATGACAATTCTTTAATTATTAGTCTGAGCCTTTGCATTACATAGTGCTGCATGCCAACTTTCGGCACATGTCCTGAGCTTTAAACACTTTCTATATATCATTGTGCTTCTTGCTTTCATCTTTTCTGATGCATAGAGGGGGTGGTACATGACACTGCTTCTTTTTTGTTTGTTTGCTTCTGTTTGTTTGAAACAGGATTTCTCTGTGTAGCTCTGACTATCTTGGGACTCACTCAGTAGACCAGGCTGGCCTTCAACTCAGAGGTCACCTGCCTCTGCCTATCCTGGCATAGTGGTATATCCTATAACTCCAGCATTTGATAGAGGAGGAAGGAGACCCAAAGTTTAAGCTCATCCTCAGCTATCTATATATAGGAATAGATGTCATGTGTGTGTATGTGTGAGTCTGTGTTTGTGTCTATTTCTGTGTGTCTGTATGTGTACACACACACACACACACACACACAACCTGCTATCAGTTTCAAGCCAGTCTAAGCTACATGAGTTCTTAACGTCTATTTGCTCTTAAAATAGTTTTCAGAGATTCTTCCATCACCATAGGCTTCTTTTAAAGCACTTGTGTCACCTTTTTTGAGGCCCATCCCTAAAGTTTCTTATTGGAAAGGGCCACTGTGCTCCTACCATGACCTACACTACCTCCATCATTACTCTGACATGGAATAAAGTCCCCCTCAAGATTATTTTTTAATTTTAATTGAATTTATTGAGATCTTTGTAAAATGCCCACAGATGCCTTATATTGGTTGTATTTGGGATACCTACAATATTTCCTTGAGTATTATAAATATATATATATGAAATTAAAATAGCAAGAAAGACACACAAATACAAATTGACATACAACTAGCATTTATAGACATAAGTAAAGGAAAAAATTCATTCTCCTACAAATGTACAGAGGGATTCGCACTAGAAAAGACACCATGGGTAAGCCAGAATTTTCTTTCTTAGTGACTGATAGATACCATGTGGAAAATTCTTGATTGTTTCAGTGAAACATGCTGAGTGAAGTTTATCCCCTCCAAGTCAGCTTGTCTAAAACACCCTTACTCTATCACAGACAAGTATATATTCAAATATGCATATAAGTGTAGGTATCACACATTACATCATTTATTAATAGAAAGTAAAATTTCAGCTCATGTTCTCTTTAAGGCTAACTGCCAACTTCCAGCAAGTGCTTTCGTCATACCTGAGCTTTCTGCCTTATTAAACCCTAATGTAGAGGAAATCAAACTGATCTGCCGGCATAACAATCAGGTAAGTGTGACGCATTCCCTTGTGAGAATGCCTGTGACATAAAGCAGTACGTGTAGGAGCTGTGCTATCCCTAGATTAAAATATGTCCTTATGACAACACTAACTTGGCTAAATTGCATGGCCATTGAAAAGTTATCCATTTTAGTCACAAAACAAATGTATTTTCTTATAAATGTTCCTGTAAGGGCTAGGTCTGCAGCTCAGTTGGGAGAGTGCCTACTTAGCATGAATGGAGGCCTGCTCTCTTGATCCCTAGTACCACATAAGCAGGTGTGGCAGTGCGTGCACCCGCTGAGTGGCTCACAACTGTCTGCAACTCCAGTTCAAGGTGACAGGTGCCCTCTACTGGCACCTTTGGACACTGCAGAGACTGCATACATCTAGGGTACAGACATACATGCAACAAGAAAACACTCACACACTTAAAATAATTTTTTTTAAAAAATGGAATTTAAAGCAGTTTTTTAAGAAGGAAGTACGAGTTCATCCTCTGGTCCATAGTGCGTTTGAGGTCAAACTGGGATATATGACATTTTATCTCAAAATCAACGGAGAAAAGACGGGCAGACACACTGAGGACAAAACGAAGAGGGTGCCCATTGGTAATTAGATTATTAAAAATAGACTCATAAGATCCTAGCAGTAAGCTTGGCCATGGTGGAGCAAGCCTTTAATCCCAGCACTCAGGAGGCAGAGGAAGGCAGATCTCTGTGAGTTCAAGACCAGCCTGGTCTACAAGAGCTAGTTCCAGGACAGGCTCCAAAGCAATACTGATAAACCCTGTCTCTAAAAGCAGAACAAAACAAAACAAAAGATCCTAGCAGTAAATAAAGTGAAGGAATTAAGGAAAGGAATGAATGTTCGTTGTCAAATTGTTTATTTCTCTTTCCTTTTTTCCCTTAGTTATCAGAATCCCAACAACTTGTTTTCAGTGACTTTCTATTCAGCTTTGAATTGTCATCCAAAATTATATTAATGAAATGTGACTCATCTGCAAGACTGGCGGTATGTATGTTTTTGTTACCATGATGAAATAACTGAGACTATATACTTTAAAAAGTGTTTTATACTTTTAAGGGATCTTAGACATTTTTACTAACTGTTCATGCCCAGTCACTAATGTTTGCCCATGAACACTAGTTGTCACAGTTTGTTTGGTCCTATAGTTGCATTATCTTACATTGTAACAATTCAATAATACCTTTCTTAAATTACAAATGTATAGAGTGTTGACAGCAAGGCACAAAAGATATTTTTACTAGAAACATTAAATGTACGTCAAACCTGGTGCTTTGTGCCTATAATGCCAGCATTCAGAAGGTTGATGGGGGGTATTATGAGTTCAAGGTGCATGGTGAGACCTTTTGCAAGAGCAAAGTCAAAAGAGCAAACAAATTCAAGGGTTCTATTTTATAAAAAGATTGGGAATCAGGCAGCCTGGGCTAGAGCTAGAATTGATCTTGACCCTGGCATATAATCAAGACCCTTGAATTTCTTTCTGGAACATGTTTACATGGATGTGCTGCATGTGTGTGTGCTGCTATGGAGTTGAGAGGATGACTTCCCTGAGTCAGTTCTCTCCTTCCAGCTTGACACTGAATTGCAGCTAGGAGGCCTGGCAGCAAGCTCTTTGCCTTCTAAGCCATCCCACCAGCCACAGACTTTGAGTCTCTCATTCCCCAGCTTCCACCCTCATGAATTGCAGGCCCGCTGCATCATTCACACTTTTATCCTCCATAGTCATAACGGAGAACCAACTGAAAATTTTCTTTTTCTAAAAGTATGAAGCCATGACATCTCTAGGAAGCTTGAGAACATGTTTAATACTGAAAGTCAGACGAAGTCACCTGGTTGAAGACACCATACGGCAATTAAGTCATGCTGAATACAAGGACTTTAAAAAACCACTAGCGGTAAAGAAAAATGTCTTGCTGGACTCTTTTTTTTTTTTTTAATTGTCGGAGGGGACATTCATAATTAAGAAGCTGCTTTCACAACCATGGTGATTAAGGTCTTAAGGTTTTCAGAAGTCCACCTTTCCCTTAAGGGAATGGAATGTTTAATTATGTATTGAGTTGAGGGTTAACTCATTTATTGATGATAATAGCAAATCATCCCAGTGCTTAATGTCATAAATTTACTTTCCAAATTTTCTAGTCCAGCTGAACTTCTGGTTATCTTATTTTATGAACATGTATTTGTAAGTACAATGCTAGGAATAAAACCACAGTTTCCACACATGCTAAATAAGTACTTAACCACTGAGCTACATTCCAAGCCATATGGATATTTGTTTGAATTTGTTTACATATCTGAAAGTTAGATAGGGATTGGCTGCAGTATGCTGATACTAGCTGAGGACATTGAGTTATGCTTTGTATGTCCTTCCTCCTCTTGGGACCATCACGCATGTTCTTCTCATAGTACTACTGAAGGTGCATGCTAGCAATCATTAAATATTGTTTAAATCAAAGAAGAGTCATGAATGCACCCAAGCCAAAGGCTGGGAAAATATATTAACCTCTTAATGGGAGAAACTGCGGAATCACATTCAAAAAGAAAATTCAACCAAAAAATAGTAAAGACTGGGGCTGTTCATGCACTCGATAGGTAGCAAGTGTAATAGGCAATTTCTCCCATATTGTGTTTTTAGAATTTCTACTGAGTAGGTTCCAATTACAGGCACTCTTTATCGAAACCTTTATGGATGCCTATTGAGTATTTATTGTGTGGCACCTCAGGTCATTTGCCATATTGCATGTTTAATAGAACACTGACTGATGCTGTGGGTAAGAACTGGAACCTGGAACTCCAAAGGGTAAGTGGTACTCTCCCAAAGACAACACATCCTGGAGGATAGCGCTTAGACCAGAGAGGGCGACTTCTCAGCATGTGATTCAAATCAAAAACAGAGAAACAATTTTATTTTAGAAACCAGACTCCCTTTGTAGTCTTCTCATACTTTGTGAGGGAAATCTATAGAACATTCTTCCCTCTAAATGGCTATCCTTCAAAAGGAAGAAGTTAACTTTAAGACAGAGACAAAATAGATCAAGCATGATAAGACTATCCTTACTCACCCTTGCCCTCACTGTGAGTCCTGAGCAGGCCAAAGAGTTTGATCGAAGGTCAGCAGGAATGCTCTCAGACAGAGTAGAGGAATAAAGCTTATGGAGGCTCACATTCATAATACAAGGTCCGGGAGTGGTAGAGCATAAGGGCCCAGTTCAATCCCCGGCACCAGAAATCAGATAGATTTATCTGATAGATTTATGAGATAGATAAATAAATGAAAGAAACAAAATCAGCGAGAAAAGGAAGTAGAAAAGGAATTGTCAGAGCACCAAGGGTAAAATGAAGTCAGTGCCGGGCCATGAAATTCAGAGGCAGGGAAAACTGTTAAAAAAAGAGGAACTGGTTAATGTATGTGTTGCCCCGGTGCTATGGCAACAAGCTTACTGTAATGGTACTTAGCCCACACTCGTTGAAGGGCTGCTTGCTGGAAGTAGAGGCTGGAGAAACCAAAAAAGCTATTCATTAGAGAGAAGGTTGCAGTCAAAAAGATAATATGAAGACATGCAGTAAGGTTAAATAACTGAAAAATGTCTGGCTCAGGGGGTTGAAATATATCGAAATTTATATTAAGATATTGCTCCTTCTTCTGGAGCCGAGTGTGTCAGTCTAAAGGATCCGTGCATTCGCTGTCTTAACAACCTGAGGATCAGTGGGCTTCTGGCCTTTACTGCCTGCCAGCAAACTGAGGGAAGATAGGGTGTGGGAAGGTAAAGCGGTGCATGGGTCTGGCAGTTCTAAAGAATTCTATGATGGTCAGGACAGGCCCAAGACTTTCCCATAAAGGGCAAAGAGATGTATTTTAAATAGGTTTTCTTTCTGTAGGTTCAATTTATTAAAGAAATCCGTGCTGAGGGTGGAGGGGTGACTTCAGAGTTTTTCCAGTGTATATTTGAAGAGATGACAGACCCCAAATATGAAATGTTCATGTATCCTGAAAAGGGTTCCAGCATGTGGTTTCCAGTCACTGTAAGTTATGTCTCTCTCATAAAACATAGTAAATGCAAACTATAGATGATAGTGTAAAGTTAGGACTCTACAACCTAGCTTCTCTATTTTAAGTAGTACCATATCACCCATGGAGCAGGAGCTATGCCATGGCGGCATGATCTGGCAGCATGTAGAAAACCAGACTTATCTAGGTATAGTATCACATACCTAACCCCAGTGTTCAAGGCACATGAGGAAAGGACAAAGCTTGAGGACAGCTTGAGCTCTTACTGCTGAGCTCAGGAACAAACAAACAAGCAAACACCCTGGTCCTATTCAAGATCTACAGAATAGGAACTCATAACACATATAAAATCCCTTCAATGATTCCTATACACATTAAATTTTAGTATTAGTAAGGCGTCATCAAAATACAATAGACAACACAAAAATGCCCAGTTTGGTGATATGTGTATACACGAGTGAAATGATCCTCATTTGACCTCAGTCAAAATAATAAACATGTACCTCATCACCAAAGGCTTCTCTCACACTCCTTTCTTCCATCCTTCCTAAGCAATCACTGATGTGTTTCTTGTCACTGTAGAGAGAACCATGGTCTGCTCCTATCATTTTATATAAATGAAATTAAATATGATCAAATTTAATATCTGCCTTTTTTCATTGAATTACTCTGAGATGCATTCATGTCATGGCATGTGTCCATAGTTCATTGCTTTTTTTTTTCTAACTGTGGAGTGATATTCTATTGGGTGGATATCCTAAGGATGTGTCCTTAATTTTAAAAGTTATAGTACAGAATGTTTCAAATTAATAGAAACTGTTGATAAAATACCACAGGTAACTTAATTCTAAAGAGTTGGGTGAAGTGGCTGAAATGTTTTTCATTTTTATCTTTTTATACACTGTATTATACAGTGTCTTACTGTATATGCCAGGCTAGCCTTGACCTCACAATCCTCCTGCCTCCAAGTGCTTGGATTATAGGAATGCACCACACTCAGCAAAGCCCTCACTTCTAACGTATTCATACAGTTATGCTTAGTAGAAAACAGATACACACATACCCCTAATTTAAAAATGTATGTGGCTTGATAAATAACCAAGTTGAAACAGAGTACATATTACAAATCTGGGGATATGTTAGGAGAGGTCTTTGAAGACCATACTCTGCCTTTAAATCATTTCAAATTCCATCTGAGGAGTAAATAAGGCATGGTGAGTGAGGAGAATGAATATTTTGCAAACTACTAATGCTCACCAACCTGCCAACAGCAAGAATGTCACTGGAGAAGAAATCTTAGAATTTCGCACTTGCAACACTTCCTCTCCTGGGCTGTAGTTTGGGCCTGGAAAGTTTTGTTTTGTTTTTCTAACCAGAACTACAAGAAGCAGAGAAGAAAAGTAAAGGCAGCTACCATTAGTCTGTTCTTGTTATTGTCACTTTAATGAACTACCTGAGTACTTTGTTAAGGAGAGTAAGTCTATTCAACTCAGAGTTCCAAGGGCAGGCGCTGATATTCATTACTTCTCACAAGGACTCCTGGCACAAGGCATTATGACAGGATCTTCTGCAGGCTAGGAGACGACATAGGAAGACAGGCTATGAGAGTGGAAAAGGGTCCCATGAGAGCTATTCCAATGGCAGGCCTCCATGTGGGGCTGCATTGCTAAATGAAGACATCATTCATGGAACACTCATCTGGCCTTTGTTCTGTTAAGCTGAAGCATCAGTACAGAACCACCTTCCTTCCTCAGGGTTGCTCTTTTCCATCCATTGGAAGGCAAGGACCTTAAAATTCCACATGAAAACTTTGTAATTGCACCTGAGCATTTGTTTCTACATTTCAATAACAGAAACTTCTTCTCTTAATTTTCTGTATTGTTAATTTATATTAAAAATTGTGCAAGAAGCTGGGCATGGTGGCACATGGCTGCAATCCCACACTTGGGAGATTCAGGCAAGAGGAGTTCAGTGTCACCCTTAGCTCTACAGTGAGGTTTGAGATCATTCTGTACGTCTCAAGCAAGCAAACAAACAAACAACAGAAAGACCATTATGGAAGAAATTTAAATTTTATTATAACTTTAGAAAGAGTCTGACATGTTTATTCTTTTGAAATCTAGTTTGTGTCTAACTTGGTATGTTAATTAGAAAAGGGAGCTAAAATTTGTTCTTTATTAGTCTAATTGTGCTTTTGTATAACTGATTAATTATAATAAATTGGGAAATTTTTTTCATTTTACTTTCCAGCCTAAGTTTGAGAAAAAGAACTACTTCCTCTTTGGGGTCTTATGCGGACTCTCCCTATCCAATTTAAAGGCTGTCAACCTTCCTTTCCCACTGGCTTTATATAAAAAACTTCTGAATCAAGAGCCATCTCTGGAAGATTTAAAGGAACTCAGTTTCCCCTTGGGGAAGTAAGTATGTGTTTGCTCGTTAGGAACAATATTAAGGCTCAGCTGTTTAGGCATAAATAATATCCCACACTAAGAGACACAGGCAAAGTCTTCAGTTTTAATGTCATGTGCCCTTTAGATAACCTTCATTTAGCATGCCGTGTAATAGAGGAAGCCTTCAAAAATGAAGAAAAGCCAGATCTCCTCTGATCATTAACTAACTGACACACCAAGCTCTTTATCAAGGTGAAAAGTACTTAGGGGAGTTGTCAGGATGAGCATCAGTTATCCTTTTTAGCCTATAAATACAGATAGTGCTGAAAGTGCACATACATATATAGATATGCCTTATAAATAAATTAATGTACAAGTGCAAATGTATATGGTTTATAAACAGATACAGTGTTATAAGTTCTATACGTGTAGTTTATAAATATAGTGCTATAAGTGTACATAAGTATAGATAAGTGGAGTGCTGTAAGTCCATATTCATAGAAGTAATTTATAAATAGATTCAGTGCTATAAGTATATATATATATATATGTGTGTGTCCATACATATATACAGAGATATGATTTATAAATGTAGTGCAATAAGTACATTATATAAATAGATGTGGCTTATAAATAAATAAAATGCTATTAGTGTGTGTACATACAGAGATGATTTATAGACAGATATAGTGCTATAAGTTTATAGAGATAAATGTGTTTTATAAATATAGTGCTTTATGTGGTATATATTGTTTATTAATTGATTTAGTACCATAATTGTGTATACATGTGGTTTATAGATATGCCATAAGTACATATATGTGTACACACACACACATATATGCCAGGTCCTTGGGCAGGTAGGGCTGTGGAAGGGCCAGTCCAGCCTGTCCTTCCTTGGGGCTGAGCGGGATGGAGAGTGTTGATGACCCAGACCTCCCTTCTAGTCACCCATGAGAATCACACTAAGTTGGGAACCTTGTCAAAGCAGGAGATCATTATATTGTAAAAGGCATGCACTTATATAGCCTTGAGAAAGAGGGTGGGGGGCCTCAGGATGGGGTAAGGTGTGAGGGTCAATAATATTTCACCATGTTAGCAGTAGCTGGGTAGAGGCAGTTTTGCTGAGTCATTCCTATGTGGAAGTGATAGGCCAAAGACAGTTCATCATACTCTAGCCAGGCTCAGGAAGTTCCACTAGGCCTTGCGTCCTGGCCTTTTTAGGGCCAAGACACACACACACACACACACACACACACACACACACACACACACACATATATATATATATAAAACCAAAAAATGAAAGCATGTTCACTAATAACTGAGTGAATGTACATGAAATGTCCTTTGTCTGCCAACAAGTTTCTTTAAAGTGTTGACAAAAAAAATTGAGGAAAATTATTCTTTTTCATGGACTATAAGGGCAAATTTTTATTAAAGCAGAGTTCCTCAACATTGGGAATCTTGACATTTTGAGCTTTCCTGCTTTGACTGTATTTGGTGGGGATCCAAGCCTAGGCCTCCTACCTCTTAGATAAGAGCATCTAACCACAGGCATCTGGTCACTTGAATTCTCTTTGCGGGAGGGGAGGTGGTTCTGGGCACTGTGATGTGTTTAATAGTCTGGAGCCACCACTCACTAGGTGACAAACCTTAACTGATAACCAAAGACATCTCCAGACTTTGTAAAATAAATCCTCCCCACACAAGAGGTAAGGGCTCCTCTTTAATCATTTTCACAATATGCAGCAGTATTAACAAGGTAGAGTATACTAGCAAATCAAATTTGAAATTGGGATAATTCTAGGAAGATGAGTGGGAAAGAGTAGGAATGGCAATTTATATTGAATTTTGTGCATGGCTACATTACTTAATTTTTTTCCCATTAAATGATCATTCCTTGGAAATTTTATATCAAATGTGTAATTTTATTAAATTTTTCAATAGGAGTTTGCAAGAAGTTCTAAATTGTAAGGCTGGTGATGTTGAAGAACTTTATATACATTTTTCCGTGAGTAACAGAAAAAACTAGATTATAGCTTGGCTTTAATCTCTTTAATCTGCTTTCTTGGTGGGGAGTTGCTGGAGATTGAACCCATACCAAGAAAGTATGATACCACCAAGATATGCCCTCAGCCATTGTCTTTTATTCTAAAAACAATTTTATTCCAGAACCTTTAATATGAAATATTTACATTTTTAAAGATAATTTATTTCTGTGAAATTTTTCTCCAACTTGATCTTCATTTGTATATCTTATATCTACAGACAAACACCTAAATATGTATATAGCAAACATTCATTTAATGCAAACAATGTCCTCAACTAAACAGGTTTATTTGTGCTTGAAGTATATACATCAACATGCATTAAGCAGGGTTTAAAATTTTTTATATGGCAAGGCATGGTAACTCCTGCCTTTAATTCCAGCAGTTGACAGGCAGAGGCAAGGGATCTCTGTGTGTTCAAGGCCACCCTGGTCTATATAGCAAGCTCCAGATCAGTGTGTGTGTGTGTGTGTGTGTGTGTGTGTGTGTGTGTGTGTGTGTGTGTTGAGTGTAGTGGTGCATCAGAGAAGGAGGTATGGGCAAGACAACAGCAGGTATGAGTCCAGCTTGGGCTACATAAATAGACTGTCACAACAAACAAAAGGCTGAACTGAAAGATTATTTTCTATCTCGGGTCATTTTAAATGTTATAGGGAAAACGTACTGACAATAATTACAGACTTATGTTCAGCTGATTGCATTTTGGTTACAGATATACTGGGATAAAAAAGATGCTGAGTTAATTCCCAATGGGATCTCTGTACCTGTGAACGAAACCAACAAGTAAGATTTAAGACCTAAAATATCTATTTCGAGTAGGCATAAAATGTTTGTAACAATACAATTTAAAATATATTTGAACTTCTCAGATGTTCATTTTAGTTCCTTGTCTTTTAGAATGCTAAACAAGTAGGAGAAGAGAAGAAATGATTTAAGAATAAATCTTTCTGTCATCTAAGATACTTTTAGTCCCTATTCTATGTTATACTGTCTTCCAGATACCAATGATAAAAAGCTGTGAAAAATGTAATATATCAGAATGTGTAGAAAGCTTATACCTAAATAGACCATCATGTAATATATTAAACAAACCAACTAGTACCAGCTTATGGGATCTGACTACAAATTTTTCAACAATATTCAAAGGTTATTATTTAAAGTATTAGTAACCTGTAGTCAGCTGTAGCAAGAGTTTTTAGAAAAATTGGCAAATGTTACAAATGAGGTTTTCCTTTCTGTTTTTTTTTTTTTTCTGCCCCCTCCCTCTCCGGCCCATCATGCACCCTTTCTCTGTATTTCTTCTCTTCCTCTGTTTCTTTACATCCTGCTCTCCCTCGCCTTCCTTTTGGAAAAGTGGTTGTTAAGCATATGAGTAGTTATGGTGAGGACAGAAAGAGATGGTTTAAACAGGTTAGTTCACAAGGACAGTTCAAAGGGGTTGTTGGGGTATGTATGTGTCCAGGTTTCTAGTAGCAACCCTACTTAGCCTACTTTTCTTTACTATAATGAACTACCAAGCACTGGGTGACTTAACAGAAAGCAGAGCTTTACTTACCTAACAGCTCTAGAAATTCAAGGACCACATATGGCAGTGGCTTTCTCGATGGCAGCATCCTAAATGTGAGAGGGAAGCACCTGATACTACATAAGGAGCATGAACATGTGTCTCTTTTGGTCTTTCTCTTGTGCCTTACAAGGCTACCAGAGTTGAATCAGGGGCTCTGTGTGGTGATTCTGTGTAACTCAAACCACTCTCCATAAACCCCACCATAAACAGTATGGTCAGATCGAGTTTCTGCCTTCTTTATACCCAACAATGGGAGAAATAAATGTCATAAATGTCAACACATAAATCCTTGCGTGACAGAGTCAAACCACATCTACACTGTGTCACTTGCCACCAGGAAATCTATCATACTGTGGAAAGTGCATTCTATAATGCAAGGCAGACCTTTCAGAATTTATTTCCACAAATGAGTTCTGCTAGAAGAGAGACGGGGAGGTGCAAAGGCACCAGACCTCAGAACATCACCTTTTGTATGAAAACCTGATGTCTGGGTAGAAGTTTGTAGGTAAAGAGGAATCATACCATGCTAAAGAGAATGTTTACACTGCATGGTCCCCTACAAACAAGAGGGCTCGAGATAAGAGTGGCAGAGAGGAATGTATTATAGAGGCGAAGAAGCAAGGGTCAAATGTTGGACTTCTGTCAACCCTCAGTTTCCTGTGATGTGGAAGCACCTGGCATTCTGTAGTCATCATACTCCACAAATTCTGGGGTTTTAACTATTTTCTAAGCTAGTTACAAAAAATACAATACTTCCTTATGATGCTTGAGAGCAGCCAGTGAACGAAAATGGCTAAGCTATAATTTTTAATAGATTAGATGTATTAAATGCATGCCCCATATTTAATGAGCTTATTAGGTTATATCCCTTATGTTCAGATTGGAGTTACAATTGCTCCTTGCAATAAAGAAAATGAGAACATTCTAAAGTCTGAATCCTCCTCTTATATTCTCTAAGAACCTTTCTTCTAGTTTGGCCAGATTTTCATCTCCCTGTGTTGTATAGACTTGTAGGCTACACAGAAGAAATATACTTTTCTTTCTCAACAGAGTAAAAAGAGAAAAATAGATGATATTGTAGTCACTTATAAGGTATGTTACTGTTTTTTTTCTTCTTCCCTCAAGGAAACTCTATGTTTCTAAGTATGTTGATTACATTTTTAACACCTCTGTAGACACAATTTATAAGGAATTTTATAGAGGATTTTACAAGGTGTGTAACATGGATATAATTATGAAGTTCCAGCCTGAAGAACTAATGACAGCAATAATTGGAAATAATGATTGTGACTGGAAACAATTTGAAAATGTAAGTGACAACCTAAAAGTACCCTTTAACTTTTCCAAATTACTGATACATATCCCTCCTAAAACTTTCTCTATCTCTCTCTTTTTTTTCTCATTCTCAAGAGTTCACTATATGAAGAAGAATATCACAAATCACATCCAACTATTCTACTCTTTTGGAAGGCTTTCCATAAATTAACTTTGGACGAAAAGAAAAAATTCCTCTGTAAGTATTGTAAGGTTTTTCAATTTTAAATTTTTTAAATTTACTTTACAAACCAACCCTTCCCCCCCCCTCGTTCCAGTCCCCCATTACTCCTGCCCCCATCCACTCCTCAGAAAGGGTAAGGTCTCCCATGGGGAGTCAACAAAGCCTGGCACCTTAAGTTGAAGCAGGACGAAACCCCTTCCCCCTGCATCAAGGCTGAGCAAAGCATCCCACCATAGGAAGCGGGCTCCAAAAAGCCAGTTCATTCACCAGGGATCAATCCTGGTCCCACTGCCATGGCCCCTCAAATAGACCAAGCTACACAGCTGTCACCTATATGCAGAGGGCCTAGTTTGGTTCCATCAAGGCTCCCTAGCTTTCCATGAGTTCAGGTCAGCTATTTCTGTGGGTTTCCTGTCATGCTCTTGCCATATAATCCCTCTAGGCTTTACCTGCCCCTGTGTAGTTTTCTCTGAACAACAACAACAATGAAAAGTGTACTCAATATTTATTAAATACAACCATTCATTTCTTCTTATTTATCTTGAGGGTTTTTTTTTTTTAGATGAAATATCTTAACAAAACTGTATTCCTTTCTAGTATTTCTTACAGGATCTGACAGGTTTCATGTAAAAGGCCTGTACTATGAAGGAATAAAATTTCGTTGTCCTCAAACTTTCACTGAAAAGGATAACCCGAGATCATTGACATGTCACAATATTCTAGACCTGCCTAAATATTCTACAATGAAAAGGATGAAGGAAGCACTTCAAGTGGCAATCAACAATAACAAGGGGTTTGTCTCCCAAGGATGATGACAATCACCTCCTAGCATCATAATCACTGGCCTCAGGAATTAGATCTTTGCCTTTTGGGTTCTTCTGTCTTTCCTTAATCTAATTAGTACAAGAGGTTAAAGAATTTCACTTAGAATTAGTTGGGTAGTTTTTTAGATAAGGAAGTTATGAATTAATATTTGTTAGTGAAACAAAATTCTGTAAAACATTTGTTATATCCCTAATTTTGATATTAGAATGTTTGCTTTGGCTGAAATATTTTCTGAAGAACAATTATCATTTAATAATATACCAAATATTTAAAATATTCAGTACTGGGGCTAGAAACAGAGCTCAGTGGTTAAGAGCACTGGCTGCTTTTCCAGAGGACCAGGGTTCAATTCCCAGCATCCCCATGGCAGCTCACATCCCAACTGTAAGTGCAGTCCTAGTGAATCAAACATCCTCTTCTGGCCTCCAAGGCACTGCCTGGGTATGGTACACAGACATACATGCAGACAAAACATGCACACATGTAAATTAAAAATAAATAATGTAGCATTTATTTAAAATGTTATTGTACCAATAATAAACTATTGATCTGAAAGAATGCATAATTGAAAAAGCTAGCAAAATATACACTGCTTTCAACATGTTTTTGAGGCATATAGATGTATGTTTTGTATTAAGAATTATATTTAAAGTTTTTGATCTTAGTAAATCCTAAATAATTTATTTTTTAAAATCTATGTGTTGAAATTTATGATTATTTGAAAGTATACATATGCTTATTACAGGATTCCTGAAGTCATTTTAAATGTAGATACTGCTATTTTGGTAAAATACTGAGTCAAATCAGGAACCCATACCCACTGTCATTAGAAAAATGTAAAGAAGTTAAAATATGTCTTTGTATGATGTTACAGAGTAAATTAAGCAATGTAACTACTATGGGAAATGACTAATACATCTTGTATACTGGTTTTACTTAATGTTAAAACATAAACTGTATGCAGGTTTGAAATAATTTCATAAACTCATATAGTTTGTCCTAAGAATGGCCTATATGCTGCTGTGACAGACCCTCCTCATAAAAGTCCCTTTCTTTTACGGATATTGTATAATGCCTTGTGAGACTTTGCATGTAAGTTGTTTACTGAACTCCAAAAAAAAAACCAAATAAAACTAATGAATGTAGAAGATCATGAAATGGTTGTCATCAACAGCAACAACAAAAACAAATAAATCACTAGAAGAGTGAACACTACAGTTAATTCCAGCATTGCTCCCGTATCAAACACAGAGGTTGCAGAGAAAGACAACTATGGGAATCTTAAGTAATCAGACACCAACATCCTTTGCTACATTTTAATGTACTCAGCACATCCAATAAAACAAAGACAGAATAATGCCTCAGAACCAAACAGAAATTAACCCAGAAATGCATTTAAAAATCAACTACAATTCACCACATTAACAGGTAAGGATGTCCATATAACACCTCAGAATAGGCAGACAAGAAACTGAGCCAATTTTTTTTCAGTTGAACCAGTAGTTCTCTCTCTCTCTCTCTCTCTCTCTCTCTCTCTCTCTCTCTCTCTCTCTCTCTCTCTCTCTCCCTCCCTCCCTCCCTCCCTCCCTCTCTCTCTTATATATTTTATTTAAGTTATAAATAATCTTATTTTACATATCCCAGATCCCTCTCCCTCCCATCCTCTCATGCTCCCCCAAACCCCCCCATCCCACCCCATCTACTACCCAGGGAGGGTGAGACCTTCCATAGGGGATCATCAAAGTCTGTCACATCATTTGGGGCAGGACCTAGGCCCTTCCCAGTTTATTTAGGTTGAGAATGTATCCCTCCATGGGGGAATGGGCTTCCAAAGTCCATTTGCCCACTAAGTAAATACTGGTTCTACTGCAAGAGTCCCCATAGATTGCCCAGGCCTCCTAACTATCACCTACCTTTAGGGGGCCTTGTTCGGTTCCATGCTGGTTCCCCAGCTGGCTGGCTGGGGTCCATGAGCTTGCTCAGGTCAGCTGTTTCTGTGGGTTTCCCCAACATAGTCTTGACCCCTTTGTTCATCACTCCTCCCTCTCTACAACTGGATTCCAGGAGTTGGGCTCAGTGTTTAGCTGTGGGTGTCTGCTTCTACTTCCATCAGCTACTGGACAAAGACTCTAGGATGGCATTTAAGGTCATCATCAATGTCATTTTATGGGAAGGGCATTTAAGGTAGCCTCTCCACTATTGCTTAGATTCTTAGTTGGGGTCATCTGTGGATCTCTAGACATTTCCCTAGTGCCAGATTTCTTTAAACCTATAATGGCTCCCTCTATTAAGGTATCTTTTCTTGCTCTCCTCTATTCATCCTCCAACTCATTCCTGATCCCTCATGTTCCCCCTCCTCTTTCTCCTCCTTCTCCTCCCCAGCCCCACACCCCTCTCCCAATTCAATTTGTTCAGGAGCTCTTGTCCCTTCCCCCTTCTCCAGGTGACCATGCATGTCTCTTAGGGTCCTCCTCTAGAAACGGGGCCAAATTTAACACCTAGTCATGCATGAGAAAACAAACAAGGAAATTGACAACGTGATAAGCCCTACATACTTTTTCATGTCAAAAGACTGAATGCTTCCCACTGCCAAGGAAATGAGAAGGCTTTTCATGTCCATGTAACACTGTATTCAGGATATGTATCCATATTATAAAGTGAAGAAAACAGAAGACACCATTTCAAAAACAAAGACCAAAATTGTCTGATATTTAGACTATATTAACTATGTAGAAGAGTCTACGAAAGAACAGATTAAGTAAATACAGAAAGAGCTCAGGACTCCAGATTACAATAATGTACTAAATTGAAAAAAGTATCATTTACAATATAAAAAATAGCAGAGAGCAATTTTAATAAAAACTTTAATATTTACAATGAGAACTATATTGTTGAAAGAAACTAAAGAAGTCTTAAATTAATTTACACAGAGATTATGTTTACTGATAGCAACATGCCATTTTTCCAATTTTTTGTGTTTGTGTGTGTGTATCTTTGTGTATGTATGTACATATGGTGCCTTTGTGTGTGTGTGTGTCTATGTCTGTGTATTTATGCTGTATGTGTTTGTCTCTGTGTGAGAGAGACAGAGAGGCAGGCAGAGAGAGAGAGAAAGAGAGAGAAAGACTCGCTATGTTGTTTACTGTCTTGAGAGATTGTTTAATCTCAGACCTAGAAAAACTGGGACTCCTGACCAGCACATGTGAGCAAATGAGCACCTAATTTAATCCCAGCAATTTATTCTGCAGAAATGATAAATTGATCCTAAAACATATTATGTAGAGGGCTCAGAATAGTCAAGATGTAACTGACAAAGAGCAATGTTGAAGGGTATGGTGATTTGAATGAGAATGACCCAATAGGCTCAGATATTTGAATGCATGGTTCACAGTTAGTAGCCCTGTTAGAAGGTGTGGCCGTGCTGTGTCATTGGGGGTGGACTGTGAGGTTTCAAAAGCTATGCACCATTCCCAGTTTGCATGGTGGGCTTACTGTTTATAAGTCAAGATGTAAGCTTCCAGCTCCAGCGAAGATGCTTGCCTGCTTCTCTTTTGCCATACCTCCCCACTGTGATGGTACTTGTATACCTCTGGAACTATAGCTCCAAATAAACCCTTCCTTCTATAAGTTGCTTTGTTTGTGATGTTTCATCATAGCAATAGAAAAGTACTAATACAGGGGCTTTGTGTGTGCTGATTTTGTGACTCACTTTGAGTACATAGTGAAAAACAGAGTATCAAGTAGAAAACAAAATTTACATGTCAATAGATCAGGAGTAAGTCCAGCCACAAATGGCCAACCTAGAGCCCCTCCCTTCCAGCTGGGAGTAAAACCTAGAACTCTACATGCTAGGCAAGTATCTTGCCACTGAATTACCCTTGGTAAGAGTACATGCCTGCATCTTTCAGCCAGATCCTACAGCCAGAATCAGACCATGCCTCTCTGCAGTACTCTCTGGGACACAGAGTTAACATACAGTCTGCACTATAGCCTAACAGCAACTCCTGAGTTATGGTCCTAACCAGCCAGTAGCTGGCTTCTCCATGCTTTTTATCACATACACTATGTTAAACCAAATCACTTGGTGTGAAACTTCAGCTACCCCTAAAAGGTTATAAAAAGTCAGATGATTCCTTTCTTCTGGGGATTGAGCTGAAATGCCTCAGGAAGATTTTCTGGGAACGGTGTCTCCCCTACACACAAAGGCACTCTCTGAAGAGGTTCTTTGGCATCTGCCATTATCCTTTTCATGCTCCCCACACCAGCCCATTTGTTACTGAAGTTGCTCTCCAGGCTTTCTCATCCTTTGACTTTAACTACTTTTTATTTTGCCTGTGTGTGTGTGTGTGTGTGTGTATGTGTGTGTGTGTGTGTGTGTGTGTGTGTGATGCATGTATGTATGTGGGTATGTGAGTGTATTTGAATGTGCATGTCTGAATAGACCAGAGGTTGAATTTTAGTGTCTTCCTCTACCATTCTTTACTGACTTTTTGAGAAAGAGTCTTTTATTGAACCTGGACTGGACGTCTCTGTTTTATCTAGACTGGCTGATCATCGAGTCTCCGGAATCTGCCTCTGCTTCCCCAGTAGGCTTACAAGCACACACCTCTGTGTCTGGCTTTTGGGTGGGATCCAACACAGATCTTCATACTTACATAGCAAACACTTTGCCCATGAAGCCACATCCCCAACCCTGAATTAAAGTATTTCTGTATATTTCTATTTAATAACTGTCTATATTTTAAACAGCACATAGTAGAGAAGTCATTCGTTTTGGTTTAGATTATAACAAACTTTGTGTTTCTGTTGTTCTTTACTTTGAGATAGTCTCCTACTTTTACCCAGACTGGCCCTGGACTTAGGGGTTCAAGACAGCCTCTTGCCTCAGTATCTGAGAAGTTGGTACTACAAGTGCAAGCCATCACAGCTGGCTTCTTTGAAACAGCTGTCTTTATTCTGAGATGTTTTGGAAGGTTTCCCCTTAGTTTTTGATCTTCAGGTAGTTTTGTTATAATGTACTTTGGTTTAATTTCTATTTAAACACTGCTTGATATGCTCGGTTTTGATAAATATTTGGCTTCTTCTAGTTTTCAAGGCTAGGTGAATGCGGACTTTATAGCAATCTCTGGGTTTGCACTCTGGACTCTAAGTACATGTCTCCTCTACAGCCTGGAGTTGTGTAGTCTCTTGCCATTTCCCATCCTTGCTTCATAGAGTTTTCTGACACCTCAAAATCCTCTAACCTCTTCAAGTACCTTAGGTTCTCTGCATTTTTAACTTTAGTTGTTCCATTTTTAAGGTATAAGATTTTAGTTTCCTCAGGAATTTTTTCATATTGTCATTGTATCTGAACAATTAATCATATATATATTTTATTTTTTAATCGGATACATTACTTGTACAAAGAAATGGGTTCCATGATGACATTTTCATAAATAGAAAATAGATTCTGTTCATATCCAATCCCTCTATTATCTTTTATTTTATTGGCTGAAGCATTGGCTGAGCAGTTAAGAGCTCCTATTAATCTTTCAGAGAACCTAGATTTGATGCTCTGTTCTCATATGGTAGCTGACAACCCGTTGTAACTCCAGCCCCAGGGGACTTTATGCACTTTTCTAATGCCCTGGGCACAACCACGCATGTGGTACACATACATACACGCAGACAAAAACACACATGAAATAATAAATCTTTAAAAAAATTAAATTTTCCCCACCACTCCCCCACCTACGCTTTATCCTTGGTTGCCTCTTTTCTCTCCATGTCCTTCTTTTCACTCCCCTAAATCCCATCTGTTAGAGGAAATATGGCCTTTGCCTTTGTGAGGCTGGCTCATCTCACTTAGCATCATCACATGATTTGGTCATCTTTTGGCATTTCTCTGCTGTTTTCTGTGTCCCTTTTCGCAGTATACTGAGTCATGAAAACAAATCTATACAGGTCTGGAATGATGATTTCTCTGAGGAAGACACCAGGTCACAGGAATAAAGAGGGTTGGCACCACCTACTGAGGACTGTTGCAGGCATTAAGGCCCAGTCTGTTCCAGCGTGCCTGCACACTTCATCTGGGGCTTTCCTGGGACTGACTCAGTGACTTCCTCACCCTCTTACTCTGAGTCTTCACCTTTGAGAAGCAGTTGTCTTC